TGTAAAAGCAATCATTTCTCTTTCTCTCTGTGTGCATTCTTGCACTCATTGAGAAGTACTGAGTGAGCTGTGATTGGTCACAGCTTGTCACATGGTACAAGGCTGTTGTGAATAGCCTTGTACCAGGTGACCTCTGTGATCATTCACAGATTTCACACGTAGTAAGCAATGATGACACAAGTGACATCTTGCTTACTACTTTGCATGTGATCACTGATTGGCCAATCAGTGATCACATGATTGGGACCTCGTACAGAGGTCCCGTCCGACGATCGGTGTTTCACTGTGTCCGGAGGACACAGCGGGCACCGGATCGCGGTGCTGCCCGCTCCGAGGGAGCGCGCACAAGCAGGGTGCAGGGAGGCTGTTTATAAACGGCCACCCGACCCTGCACTGCCATCGTCCGGCCGTTTATATGCAACGGCCGGTCGGGAAGTGGTTAATGCCCACAAGCTGTACATATGTGTCTGTGGGCTGCAGAGATTTCTGTTCTCCAAGCGCAGAGATCGAGCTGTCACAGACAGCTCCTGGTCGCTAGTAATGATCGGGAGCTGATGGGTCCTGATCATGTGACCACTGTGACAGCCATCCACTGCGGTCATGTGATCAGGCAGACCTTCCCACCCCTTGGGTGTAATAGCCTAAGTAAAAGGACACCAGGGTTGGGCAGGAAGAGGTTAATATATGAAAGATTTACAGTATATTGGCAGATTTACAGTGAGAAAAGATGAGTAGGGAGAAAAATGAACTGGATGGACTTTTTTCTTTCTTCAGCCAGACTAACTATGTAACATATAAAGGAAAGAAAGAACCCCAAGTACTGTACACCATCAGGACCTGACAGTCACTATGGTAGAAGCAGCCTTAACCCGGTTCCTTCCTCTTAAGTCAATAGGCTAGCATAATAGTCAGGCAGATATTGGATTTCATTCACTCTTCTATTCTCAAATGGCTTTTTTAAATAAAGGAACCCTCGAAATAATTATTTTGGGGAACTTTTCTGACTCACTGTATATTAGTGTGGTCGGTGAGTTGTAAATATAAATACCTACGTGGCAGTCCTAGCATATATGACAACCAGAACAGATCATTTTTTAACCCTCCCCCACCCTTCCCTGCTCTATAAGAAAAGATTGATATTATATTTCATGTACACATTACCCTCCTTATGTGTAATATACACTGCTAAAAAAAAAAATCAAAGGAACGCTTTGAAAACACACCAGATCTCAATGGGGAAAAATTTAATGCTGGATCTCTATACTGACATGGACGGGTAATTTGTTAGGAACGAAGGATGCCCCATCGTTTGATGGAAATGAAAATTATCAACCTACAGAGGACTGAATTCAAAGACACCCCGAAAATCAAAGTGAAAACATGATGCAGCAGGCTTGCTGAAATTTCATTGCAACAACTCAAAATGGTCCTCAGTAGTTTGTATGGCCCCCATGTGCTTGTATGCATGCCTGACAATGTTGGGGCATGCTCCTAATGAGACAATGGATGGTGTCCTGGGGTATTTCTGCCCAGATCTGGCTCAGGGCATCACTGAGCTGCTAGACAGTCTGAGGTGCAACCTGGTGGCGTTGGATGGACCGAAACATAATATCCCAGAGGTGTTCTATTGGATTTAGATCAGGCGAGTGTGGGGGCCATTCAATGGTATCAATTCCTTCATCCTCCAGGAACTGCCTGCATACTCTCACCACACGAGGCCGGGCATTGTCATGCACCAGGAGGAACCCAGGACCCACTGCACCAGAATAGGGTCTGACAATGGGTCCAAGGATTTCATCCCAATACCTAATGGTAGTCAGGGTGCCATTGTCTAGCCTGTAAAGATCTGTGCATCCCTCCATGGAGATACCTCCCCAGACCATCACTGACCCACCACCAAAAACAGTCATGATGAACGATGTTACAGGCAGCATAACATTCTCCACGGCTTCTCCAGACCCTTTCACGTCTGTCACATGTGCTTTCGCAGGACGCCAATGGCAGATCTGGTGTTCAATGGCAAATGACAATTGAGCTCTATAGTGCCAAGCAGTGAGCACAGGGCCCACTAGAGGACATCGGGCCCTCAGGCCACCCTCATGAAGTCTGTTTCTGATTGTTTGGTCAGAGACATTCACACCAGTGGCCTGCTGGCGGTCATTTTGTAGGGCTCTGGCAGTGCTCATCCTGTTCCTCCTTGTACAAAGGAGCAGATACCGGTCCTGCTGATGGGTTAAGGACCTTCTACAGCCCTGTCCAGCTTTCCTAGAGTAACTGCCTGTCTCCTGGAATCTCCTCCATGCTCTTGAGACTGTGCTGGGAGACACAACAAACCTTCTGGGCAATGGCACGTATTGATGTGCCATCCTGGAGGAGTTGGACTGCCTGTGCAACCTCTGTAGGGTCCAGGTATCGCCTCATGCTACCATTTGTAACACTGACCCTAGCCAAATGCAAAACTAGTGCAAAACAGTCAGAAAAGATGAGTATGGAAAGAAATGTCAGTGGCCTCCACCTGTAAAACCATTCCTGTTTTTGGGGTTGACTCGTTGCCCATCTAGTGCACCAGTTGTTAATTTCATTAACACCAAAGCAACTGAAACTGATTAACAACCCCCTCTGCTACTTAACTGACCAGATCAATATCCCAGGAGTTTAATTGACTTGATGCTAGACTCTGATTACAAAGTGTTCCTATAATTTATTTGAGCAGTATATATCAAGAAGTTATAATATTAGAAGACCACTAGGGGGGGTATAGCTGCCTGAGAGAATATGTAAATTAGGAATAGTAGATATTATTGGATATTGGTTGTCGGGATGTATTGTTTTTATATATCGAATATTATGAGATTAATGTAATGAGCACTCCGTGATTGTGGATGGATGAAAACATGAGATCGCATTGTAATAATGGATGTGAGAACGTCACTTCATTTATGTAAAAAAACCCAATAGTTAAGATGGCGGCAGATGTCCTGATGTAAGGGCAGAAGTTCATCTTTTTAAAGCCGGTCAGTTGCTTCTGAAGCCTACATCCTATTAGGAAGTCGAATGGTGATGAAACGTGTCAAAAGTGACATCAGACACAAGCCAGAAACACAGTGGTGGCCATTTTGGAAAAGGTTTTCATTGATCGTTGTTAATGTAAGCACAATCAAGAAGGTAATTAAAGTTTTATACATAATGCTGCACTATGGTCTTTACATTTTAATTTGATATACCGGATGTTGAGGAAAACGTGGAATAGTTACATAGTTAGCCTGGCTAAAAAAGACAAAAGACCATCCAGTTCAACCAGTAAAAAAAAAAAAAAAAAAGTTATAATCCTACACCCACAGTTGATCCAGAGGAAGACAAAAAAACCCAGCAAAGTATGATCCAATTTGCTCCTGCAGGGGAACAAATTCCTTCCTGATCCCCAGAGAGGCAATCGGATATTCCCTGGATCAACTTCTAGACGAAGGGAGAACATCATGGAGGCATTGTCTGTGCGGATTTAAGATCTGTGTTTGGGAAGGCGCATGCTCTGAAGGGGAGGTGAATTCTGTACTCAAACCCACATTCCAATGGGAGATTTTGTATGCAATTTTGGTTCTTATAAGATGTTTATGCTCACCCCTTTGTCATCAAGAGCAGTTTCGCTCTGGACACATTTGTTGTGGTGACTCTTTCTTTTTGTACTTTAAAACATCTGTATCACTATGTTCACCACAATTTTGCCTAATGTTTGGTAGCAAATATAGCATATATGGAAAGAACGTTTGCTAGAAAAAGCCATTTTTTAATTGACTATTGTTCTATTCATTGTATGCGTACCATTCAATTACAGAGCACATTCTCAGGCCTCTTTCCTTTTTCTTCTGTAATTTGCACCACTGATTAATTAATTTATTTATTTCAGGTACTTATATATAGCGCCGTCAATTTACGCAGCGCTTTACATATATATTGTACATCCACATCAGTCCCTAACCCTCAAGGGGTGTACAATCTAAGGTCCCTAACTCACATTCATACATATACATACTAGGGCCAATTAACCTAACAACATGTCTTTGGAGTGTGGGAGGAAACCCATGCAGACACAGGGAGAACATGCAAACTCCAGGCAGGTGGTGCCGTGGTTGGGATTCAAACCAACGACCCTAGTGCTGCTAGGCGGAAGTGCTATCCATTTAGCCACTGTGCTGCCTGTATTTGACTTTCTTTGTGAAAAAAACTTTTAAATATTATTGCAAAGAAAATGTTGTCAAATGGGTGTGGGAACAGAAAATGACTCATTTTACCAGCATTGTTTTAAAATATCAGCATGGCCAATGCAGCACATACTAAACTTTTATTTACAGTTAACATGCATTAAATTAAAAAAATTGCTTCTTATGTGTAATATATAGTTAGGCTATATGTGGTGTGTAAGTCACTAGGGCAGTACATCATGTATGTCGTATTACCAAAGCATACAAGCTTTACTGTAAAGAGTCCCCCTCAAACTTTTTCTTTAGTTCAGAGACTTTGGGCAGAGGTGATGCCTTCAACTCTGAGGACACTGAAGAGAAGGTAATTTCTTGTTTCATATCACTCATATGACTTTTAGGAGATACTGGCGTTAAGCCATCATGTGCCCGAGCAAGGGGTATGGTGGTATCAGATATTGGGCTTTTGGGTATTTCTAATTTGGGTGTACTCTGGGTCCTAAGAAACACAGGACCAACACGATGGATTGAACTGTTTGGTTTTGGGCTGCTGTACATCTGAGATTTAGGTCTTGGTGTATTAAATGAGCGAAAGTTGGGTATGACTTTATCTACTTGTTCGGAGTCTTTCTTAGTCCCTGTCCAGACCATTCTGGGGTCCAGAGTTCCAACCTGAAAATGAGAGATCACCGATCTGACACAGGGCCCACTCGGGAGTCGTGGAGGGTCACTGGAAGCTTTTCTCACCAGTGTATCCTCCTGAGGCACCAATGGCAAAACAGTCTTCTGTTTTTCAATTTCTTCTTTCTGGTTAGGATAAGTTTCAAACTCTGGGGATGGCAGAATTATTTTGAGCTCCCTTGTGACTGAAGAAGTCTGAGAAATGACTTTGGGAGCAGCAGCTACCACCTCTGAAGATGACACAGATTTTTCTGTGATGGAAAAAGAGACATCAGGCTTCTGGGAAGTTACATCTCCAGATGATGATGAAGAGATGTCCTCTTTGGTCTCTAAAGAGCTGTCTGGAGTAGTTGATATAGTATCTGATATTGCTACATCCATAATCGGTGAAGCATAATCTGAGGCATTTGATATGTTGTCTGGAGTAGACAAATTGTCCTCTGGAAATTCCAAGTCGTCTCCAGTTCCTTCATCAACTTCTGGCAGGTACCAAAGGTCTGAATGTCTTGGCTGGTCAAGCTGAGCCGCAGATCCTCTTCACTAGACTGGTAATAGAAAAGGGAGAAGTCAGCAATTATAAATCAGTATGTATGTGATTATGTATCAGTATGTTAGTAAACCGCTGGCTCAATGCATGGGTTGACTGCAAATTTTGTCCAGGGGCTACCAGCAAGTCTACTTACCCAATCCTCTGCTCCAGCGGCAAACTGTGCTCCCCATGAACCAGCAGTGGCATGTTCCTGATTTTAGGATATAGTTCTAGCATGATAGTCCCTTTGCTCCCTTCCTAAAAATTTCAGGACTGCAAAATGTTTTTCCATAATAGCTGAAAATCTTTTTTTTCTGGTCACTTGTTTCGGCTGACTTACAAAAGCAGAAAAGGAGCAAAAAATGTAAATTTTGTCATGCAAACTAATCAAGTTTCAGCTTTCACTTCCGTCCCCCTTTAAAAATGAAAGCATGTAATCTGATTGGTTGCTTGCTTTCAATCTTTGTGTATTTATATGTTTATGGAGGTTAGGTGGGAGGGTTAAATAGTTACATAATTACATAGTTAGTCTGGCTGAAAAAAGACAAAAGTCCATCCAGTTCAACCATAGAAAAAAAAAAGTTATCCTACACCCACAGTTGATCCAGAGGATGGAAAAAAAAACCCCAGCAAAGCACGATCCAATTTGCTCCTGCTGGGAAAAAATCTCTTTGTGATACTCACCTGTCCAAAGTACTGACTGTCATCCAGGCTAAAGCAGTCCAGGCTGTGAGCCCCATACAATGCACGCTCCCCTCCAGGTGCTCTTGTGTTCAGGGTTTCAAATATTTCATTAAGAAGATCCATGCTGTCATCAAGAAGAGGAAAATCATTCTCTTCTGCAGGCCCCGAGTCCCCTTCTTCACTTGTACCATCTTCACCATATCTGACACAGCACAAAAAATTACGTCACTACAGGTGTAAAAAGACTCTGAACAGAACTAACATGCATTCAAATATTAAGAGGGCTGGGTTACCATAATAAGATTACAGGGTAATAAGACACTCGGGAGCCGGGTTACCGTAATAAGATATTACAGGGAATAAGACACTCGGGAGCCGGGTTACCATAATAAGATATTACAGGGGTAATAAGACACTCGGGGAGCCGGGTTACCGTAATAAGATATTACAGGGGGAATAAGACACTCGGGAGCCGGGTTACCGTAATAAGATATTACAGGGGAATAAGACACTCGGGAGCCGGGTTACCGTAATAAGATATTACAGGGGAATAAGACACTCGGGAGCCGGGTTACCGTAATAAGATATTACAGGGGGAATAAGACACTCGGGAGCCGGGTTACCGTAATAAGATATTACAGGGGAATAAGACACTCGGGAGGCGGGTTACCGTAATAATAAGGGGATACTCGGGACGGGTTACCGTAATAAGATATTAAGACACTCGGGAGCCGGGTTACCGTAATAAGACATTACAGGGGAATAAGACACTCGGGAGCCGGGTTACCGTAATAAGAATATTACAGGGGGAATAAGACACTCGGGAGCCGGGTTACCGTAATAAGATATTACAGGGTAATAAGACACTCGGGAGCCGGGTTACTGTAATAAGATATTACTCGGGAGCCGGGTTAATACAGGGGACACTCAGGAGCCGGGTTACTGTAATAAGATATTACAGGGGAATAAGACACTCGGGAGCCGGGTTACCGTAATAAGATATTACAGGGGAATAAGACACTCGGGAGCCGGGTTACCGTAATAAGATATTACAGGGTAATAAGACACTCGGGAGCCGGGTTACCGTAATAAGATATTACAGGGGAATAAGACACTCGGGAGCCGGGTTACCGTAATAAGATATTACAGGGGAATAAGACACTCGGGAGCCGGGTTACCGTAATAAGATATTACAGGGGGAATAAGACACTCGGGAGCCGGGTTACCGTAATAAGATATTACAGGGTAATAAGACACTCGGAGCCGGGTTACCGTAATAAGATATTACAGGGGTAATAAGACACTCGGAGCCGGGTTACCGTAATAAGATATTACAGGGGGAATAAGACACTCGGGAGCCGGGTTACCGTAATAAGATATTACAGGGGGAATAAGACATTCGGGAGCCGGGTTACCGTAATAAGATATTACAGGGGAATAAGACACTCGGGAGCCGGGTTACCGTAATAAGATATTACAGGGGAATAAGACACTCGGGAGCCGGGTTACCGTAATAAGATATTACAGGGGAATAAGACACTCGGGAGCCGGGTTACCGTAATAAGATATTACAGGGTAATAAGACACTCGGGAGCCGGGTTACCGTAATAAGATATTACAGGGGTAATAAGACACTCGGAAGCCGGGTTACCGTAATAAGATATTACAGGGGGAATAAGACACTCGAGAGCCGGGTTACCGTAATAAGATATTACAGGGGGAATAAGACACTCGGGAGCCGGGTTACCGTAATAAGATATTACAGGGGTAATAAGACACTCGGGAGCCGGGTTACCGTAATAAGATATTACAGGGGAATAAGACACTCGGGAGGCGGGTTACTGTAATAAGATATTACAGGGGAATAAGACACTCGGGAGCCGGGTTACCGTAATAAGATATTACAGGGGGAATAAGACACTTCGGGAGCCGGGTTACCGTAATAAGATATTACAGGGTAATAAGACACTCGGGAGCCGGGTTACTGTAATAAGATATTACAGGGGGAATAAGACACTCGAGAGCCGGGTTACCGTAATAAGATATTACAGGGGGAATAAGACACTCGGGAGCCGGGTTACCGTAATAAGATATTACAGGGGGAATAAGACACTCGGGAGCCGGGTTACCGTAATAAGATATTACGGGGTAATAAGACACTCGGGAGCCGGGTTACCGTAATAAGATATTACAGGGGAATAAGACACTCGGGAGGCGGGTTACCGTAATAAGATATTACAGGGGAATAAGACACTCGGGAGCCGGGTTACCGTAATAAGATATTACAGGGGGAATAAGACACTTGGGAGCCGGGTTACCGTAATAAGATATTACAGGGGGAATAAGACACTCGGGAGCCGGGTTACCGTAATAAGATATTACAGGGGTAATAAGACACTCGGGAGAACACTCCCGGGTTACCGTAATAAGATATTACATGGTAATAAGACACTCGGGGAGCCGGGTTACCGTAATAAGATATTACAGGGGGAATAAGACACTCGGGAGCCGGGTTACCGTAATAAGATATTACAGGGGAATAAGACACTCGGGAGCCGGGTTACCGTAATAAGATATTACAGGGGTAATAAGACACTCGGGAGCCGGGTTACTGTAATAAGATATTACAGGGGAATAAGACACTCGGGAGCCGGGTTACTGTAATAAGATATTACAGGGGGAATAAGACACTCGGGAGCCGGGTTACCGTAATAAGATATTACAGGGGGAATAAGACACTCGGGAGCCGGGTTACCGTAATAAGATATTACAGGGGGAATAAGACACTCGGGAGGCGGGTTACCGTAATAAGATATTACAGGGGGAATAAGACACTCAGGGGCTGGGTAGGGACACACCGATACTGGGTATTTTCACAAATACTCATACACGTGAAAATGCTCCTGATACCCAAACCGATATTTTGTGGTGCAATTTACATCAATACATAATGTATGGATACAAATTGCACTGTAAAGAATAGCATGCGACTTGAAGAGGAATGTGATTCCTGAATAGGAATGTAATTACTGTCCAAATCGCTTGCAGTTTCCCCACTGCTCTTGTGTGAACTGAGGCTTGTCATAGCCTGAGTTCACACAGGAGCAGTGCAGGAAACCTCCTTGCACCAATCCCATGGTGAGTGACTGAGGGTTGGAAAGAAGGGCATGTGGGGATGTATACACTGGTGTCAGCTATCAGGAGTCACGCTGCTGACCAGTCAGAAGCTGTCTAGCTCGTACTGTCTTTCCTGCATTGAGAGGAGAGAAAGCCGCGGGGTTCTGAAATCCAAGATGGAGCCCACAAGCAAACTAAACTGGAGCCTTTCCCCTGCAGTGCCTCTTAATGACAGAAAAGCAGTCTGAGAACTGCATTGAGAAGCACAGTGTTACTTGAATTGTATTCCAGGAGTTGCTTGTCTTCAGCTGAGAGAACTGTAAAGTCTTAATATTTTGTTAAGGTCTTTATGTTATATAGTTTGAATATAATATAGATATATTTATTTATCATTTTAAAAGAAATACATTCCACAATTCATTTTTTTCCTTTTTTCTTTTTGTTCAATTTTTCCAGAAAGATCCCCAAAAAATGGCTTTGGAAAAAGAGCCTTCCCATCATTGGGTGTATTGCACAGATGTACTGACTTTATTCTTTATTTTGCCCTGACATACATTTTTTTTTAATGTATAGAAAGTTGAAGCATACATTTGCTTATGCTTGCATGAGGACTGGGGTGCTGTCATGGTAATCCTTGTCATCATGATGTTTAAGGCCCCATGTACACGGGACACTTCTGAAAAATGGAAACTGACTGCTGGAAAATATAGGTTAAAAAACGTCTGTTTAGCCGCGTTTGCATACCACGTTTATGCGCGTTTGCATTTAGAAGCAGTTTTAAAGATAAGCACAGGAGAACCTCCCAAATGCTCAGAATGCACTGTAAAGTGGTAAATTATTTAACTATTTCAGACTGTTTCAGAGAAATACAGAGAGTAGAAGCAGAGACAGCAGTACCTGTTGAAATTAGCTTAGGTGTGAGTTGCTCATTAACATTTCTTTTGTTTCCAAGGGTGGGGAAAGGTGTCTGGTGGAGGAGTCATTAAGGCCTCCTGGCAGGAGGTCTTCATTGGGAATTTGAGGTGTGAATGGTCATTAACATATCTTTTGTTTCCAAGGGTGGGAGAGGTGTCTGGTGGAGGGAGTCATTAAGGTCACCTAGCAGGGGGTCTTCATTGGGAATTTGAGGTGTGAATGGTCATTTACATATCTTTTGTTTCCAAGTGTGGGAGAGGTCTGAGGTGTGAATTGGTCATTACAATGTGTGACAAGCTTGGTTGGAACATCCTGTGTTCAGTGTTTTGTCCATTTGAGTACCTTGAAAACGCTTTGCATGCATTTTTCATGATAAAAAAAGGCTGAATATCTGGAAGAGTTAAAAAAAATTTCAACCGCAAATGCTTATAAATGCGATTTGCCATGTTTACAAGCATTTTGCGTTTGAAATGCTGATAAAATCGACTGCTGAACACAAATTTTCTGCGTTCAAAAAAACAACTGTAAACTCAAATGCCTGTAAACGACTGTAAATGAAGATGTGTACATGGACACATAGGAAAACATTAGGGAGAGGTCAGAGGCTGCTGAAAAAAAACGCTGAACAGATCCTAAACGTGCGTTTATCAGCTGCAGTGTACATGAGCCCTAAGTTGCATTCATTTTCTGGTATTGGGCTGTTTGTTAATGTCACTCACCTCTGACACTCCCAAGGGTCACTCTCTGAATATTTCTTCCCCGGTCTCCTGGGACGGGACTGTAAAGACAATCAGGATGTTTTACATGTATGTACTTGTGTCATTATTTACAAAGCAATCACCTCTGAATTGTACTTGTTCCATGACATTATAGACTAGAGCAGTGGTTCTCAACCTTCCTAATGCCCTGACCCTTTAATACAATTCCTCATGTTTGTGGTGACCCCAACCATAAAATTATTTACCCAGTAATTATAATTCATGAGTGTCCTTTTACCTCCAATACTGCTGCTTTCAACACAGTAGCTGCTTTTAAACAGAGTAGCTGCTTTCAACACAGCAGCTGCTTTCTACACAGTAGCTGCTCTTTACACATCGGAAATATGTGTTTTCTGATGGTCTTAGGGGACCCCTGTGAAAGGGTCGTTCGACCCCCAAAGGGGTCGCGACCCACAGGTTGAGAACCACTGGACTAGAGGGATACTCCGTCACCCTGTTGAGATTACAGAGATTGGACATGGAATCAACTGCACTTTTGCATGGTGACTGTGAACTCCAACTGAAACATTTAGAAGTTCGATGTGTCCTGCCCTACTCCCATGTATTTGGTATGTGTTGTACAGTATTGAACTGCAGCAGGTTGTTATTGTTCTTTAGTATGGTGGAACCTACTGGTGGTTTTGGGCCGCTACAAATTTGTTTACTATGTGATTTCTGTCCTCCCCTCCTGTTTAGTGCTAGTAAGTTTAGTCCTAACCAAACCCTTCCCATTTCTTTCATGTTCCTTCAGTCAGTGTTAATTATTTATGGAGACAGAGCTCAGGAAAGCCATTGTCTGCTTGTGCTGCAAAAGGCTAGAAAAGCATCCTCAATTAGCTGAAGCTGAATTATTTGGACAGACTGGGTTTAAGTTGGTATGTCAATGCATAAAGCGCCATTTCAAAAAGAACATGATGTATGCATCCTAAAAGATTAAATAAATGATTTGATTTGCTTTGAATTGATTTGCATTTATTTTTGTAATATTTTGTATTTTTTCTATTTATTTTTAACATTATTTGTTCTATGTTATCAATTATATTCATAATATACAGTTGTGCTCAAAAGTTTGCACACCCTGGCAGAAATTGTGAAATTTTGGCATTGATATTGAAAATATGACTGATCATGCCACAAAATGCTCTTTTATTGAAGGATGATGATCATATGAAGCCATTTATTATCAAATAGTTGTTTGGCTCCTTTTTAAATCATAATGATAACAGAAATCACCCAAATGGCCTGGATCAGAAGTCTCCGCCCCCCGGATCAGAAGTTTCCCTCCCCTGGAATGTTTGGCCTTGGTACAGACACACAAGGTGACACACACGGGTTAAAATGCCAATTAGAGGTTAATGTCCCACATCTGTGGCTTTTTAAATTTCAATTAGTGTCATTGTATAAATAGTCAATGGGTTTGTTAGCTCTTACATGGAAGCACTGACTAGGCTTGATACTGAGCCATGGGGAGCAGAAAAGAACTGTCAAAAGTCCTGCATAACAAGGTAATGGAACTTTATAAAGATGGACATAAAAAGATGTCCAAAGCCTTGAATATGCCAGTCATCACTTCCACTAAGAAGTAGAAAATTCAGGGACCTCTTGATACCAAGCCAAGTACTGGTACAGGTAGACCAAGAAAGATTGCAGCCACAACTGACAGACGAATTGCTTGGGATACAAAGGAAAACACATAGGTAACCACAAGAAAAATACAGGCTGCTCTGGAAAAAGACAGTTTGCTTGTTTTGAAGGAGCACAATATGATGACACTTGAACAAAAATGAGCTGCCAGAAAGAAGCCTTTACTGCAGCAATGACACAAATTTCACAATGTCTGCCAGGGTATGCAAACTTTTGAGCACAACTGTATATATAAAAAAGTCTACACACCCCTGTTAAAATGTCAGGTTTCTGTGATGTAAAAAAATGAGACCAAGATAAATCATTTCAGAACTTTTTCCACCTATAAACTGTACAAACTCAGTTGAACAACAAACTAAAATCTTTTAGGTTGAGGGAAGTAAAAATAAAAATCTAAAATAATATGGTTGCATAAGTGTGCACACCCTTAAACTAATACTTTGTTGAAGCGTCTTTTGATGTGATTTCAGCACTCAGTGTTTTTGGTTATGAGTCTATCAGCATGGCACATCTTGACTTGGCAATATTTTCCCGCTCTTCCTTGCAAAAAAAAAAACTCCAAATCTGTCATATTGTGAGGGCATCTCCTGTGCACAGCCCTCTTCAGATCACCCCACAGATGTTCGATCGGATTCAGGTCTGGGCTCTGGCTGGGCCATTCCAAAACTTTCATCTTCTTCTGGTGAAGCCATTCCTTTGTTGATTTGGATGTATGCTTTGGGTCGTTGTCATGCTGAAAGATGAAGTTCCTCTTCATGTTCAGCTTTCTAGCAGAAACCTTAAGGTTTTGTTCCAATATTGACTGGTATTTGGAACTGTTCATAATTCCCTCTACCTTGACTAAGGCCTCAGTTCAAGCTGAAGAAAAACAGCCCCAATCATGATGCTGCCACCACCATGCTTCACAGTGGGTATGGTGTTCTTTTGGTGATGGGCAGTGTTGCTTTTTTTACCAAACATATCTTTTGGAATTATGGGCAAAAAGTTCAGCCTTGGTTTCATCAGACCATAACACATTTTCCCACAAGCTTTTGGGAGACTTCAGATGTGTTTTTTTTGCAAAATTTAGCCGGGCTTGGATGTTTTTCTTCTTAAGAAAAGGCTTCCGTCTTGCCACTCTACCCCATAGCCCAGACATATGAAGAATGTGGGAGATTGTTGTCACATGCACCACACAGCCAGTACTTGCCAGATATTCCTGCAGCTCCTTTAATGTTGCTGTAGGCCACTTGGCAGCCTCCCAGAGCAGTTTTCTTCTCATCTTTTCATCAATTTTGGAGGGACATCCAGTTCTTGGTAATGTCACTGTTATGCCATATTTTGTCCACTTGATGACGGTCTTCACTGTGTTCCATGGTATGTCTAATGCCTTGGAAATTGTTTTGTACCCTGACTTATAACTTTGAATAATGAGATCCCTCTGATGCTTTGGAAGCTCTCTGTGGACCATGGCTTTTGCTGTAGGATGTGACTAAGAAAATGTCAGGAAAGACCTACTGGAACAGATGAACTTTATTTGGGGTTAATCAGAGGCACTTTACATGATGGCAGGTGTGACTCCTATTTAACATGATTGTAAATGTGATTGCTTAATTCCCCAGTTATAAGAGGGTGTGCACACTTATGCAACCACATTATTTCAGTTTTTTATGTTTACTTCTCCCCCTAAAGATTTCAGTTTGTTTTTCAACTGAGTTGTACAGTTTATAGGTCACATTAAAGGTGGAAAAAGTTGTGAAATTATTTATCTTTGTTTCATTTTTTTACATCACAGAAACCTAACGTTTTAACAGGGGTGTGTAGACTTTTTATATCCACTGTATATATACACTGCTCAAAAAATTTTAAGGAACACATTGAAAACACATCAGATCTCAATGGGGAAAAATCTCCTGCTGGATCTCTATATTGACATGGATGGATAATGTGTTAGGAACGTAAGGATGCCCCATCGTTTGATGGAAATTAATATGATCGACCTACAGAGGACTGAATTCAAAGACACCCCGAAAATCAAACTGAACAAATGATGCAGCAGGCGAGTCCATTTTGCTGAAATTTCATTGCAGCAACTCAGAATGGTCCTCAGTAGTTTGTATGGCCCCCACGTGCTTGTATGCATGTCTGCCAACGTCGGGACATGCTCCTAATGAGACGACGGATGGCGTCTTGGGGGATTTCCACCTCTCCCCTGTCAGTGTTCCTTGGCGATTGTCGGGTGCCAGCGGGGAAACCCCACGCATGCCCCCTACAAAATCACATGTATATATTGGTTATATAGTGGATCGGTCATGTCATCCAGCAATGCACATCCACTCTAATCACAATTAAAAACTCCTGCCGACACAATCCATTCCCCATGGCTAGATGCCTAGCGGCTAGATACGGCGAATGACAGCTGAGTATAAAAAAAAGGCATGGGGTCTCCCTGGTGATGTCATTGACCAAATACATCATTGACCATTATTGGTCAATGATATCACAGGGATTCCCCTTGGCAAGCTACCACCCCCCCCCCCCCTTCCATGTTGAGGGCACGTGGCTTCATATGGTTCAAAAGGGGAAGGGAAATGCTGTTTCCCCTCCCCCTCCCTTTTCTGGCCTGTCATGCTTGGATAGGGGTCTGCTGTGGAATTTTGGGGGTAACCCCACACTTTTTTTATTCTTGATATTTGTGTGGTGTTCCCTTTTAAAAACCTTTACCGGACTCAAAGATTTTTCCCACGTTCCCCAGACCAGTGCCTCTCCATGCCATTTGATGATCCCTTGCCTATTAGCCTAGAAAATGGCCATTACTGTTTTTTTAACAACATTTGGCTCCGATTGACTTCAGTAGGGTTTGGATTCAGCATCTGAAGTCTAGTCTTGTTCTCTGAACCAGCCTCAGGCTGAACCAAGGTACGGCCCATCCCCAATCCTTATGTATACAATAGAAGACATTACTTTTCTCAATAAAACTGGAATTTCTTTGAGTGTTCAGTGGGAGGATCTGCTCCCATTATAACCACAAGGGCTAAGCTCATCACTTGGTCCGAACCAAACACTGTTCATACATTGATGCGAACGTGACAGCTTTTGGCTGCTAATGGTAGCTAAGGAAGCAGAGGATGCTTGGACCAGCCATGTCCTTACCAACCACTGACATCACCCAGCCCATTCACTTATATGGCTGGGAATCCTTGGCCATGTAAGCAAATGGGCGGAGAATGGAGCAGGTTACATCATTCCCCAGATTTCGTCACTTGATTGGTGGAAGTCAGTCTGGAAAAGTGGGAATTCCTAGTCAGACTACATTTGCATGCAGACCACCCTACGTAACACCCTTAAAGCGGAGCTCCACCCAAAAGGGGAAGTTCCGTTTTAAGGACTGCTTCCCCGCTCCCCATTAAGGATTGGCACCTTTGGGGGGCGGGGGGGCGCGGGTACCCGAATTTGACAGGTACCCGCTCCCACTTTCGGTCCAATTGCCTCGGCGATCGGAAGCGGAAGGTGTCCTCCCTCCCTCCCTGTAGTCTTTTGGGACACGTGACCGGTCCCAGAAGACTACAGGACCATTCAGAAAGCATGAAGCGCAGAGCTACTCGCGCATGTGCAGTGGGTACCTGGCTGTGAAGCCACAAGCTGTCACAGCCGGGTGCACACACTGAAGAATACAGGACGGCCGGTGAAACGGGCTGCGGGGGGGACACACCACGGGACCGAGGGACAGGTAAGTGGTTGTTTTTTAAAAGTCAGCAGCTACAGTTTTTGCAGCTGCTGACCAGGGGCGGACTGACCATTTGGAAACTCGGGCACTGCCCGAGGGCCCGGGGTCAGAAGGGGGCCCCATGAGATGCCCCTGGTAGCTTTTTCATAGGCTTTTTTGAGTTTGGCCAAGGACACAGGGGCCCCATGATCCCCTATTGCCCGGGGGCCCCATGAGTTGTCAGTCGGACCCCTGCTGCTGACTTTTATTTTTTGACAGCGTGAGTGGAACTCTGCTTTAATGCTGATACTCCATGATTGAATTAACTGAAATACAGTGAGCCAGGAACAGTCGGGCTGGTGAAGAAAGAGCTAAATGTTGTTGGATGTCCTCCAACCAGGAAATGAGGGCGGGCTCTATCTGACTTGCTGCAGCTTCTAATGCACACTGTGAAAATCTCCTAGTGTGCAGTGAATTCAGAGTAACCAATTTCAGCCTGTACAACTGTGCAAGGGTCAAGGTCAACTTTAAATATCTTTTCCTGAAATGTTCAATCAGTGAATAGAAAGAAATGCATTAAGAGGGCTATCAAATCTCAAACATATCAAGACTTTTTTTTTTTTTTTAACCTGTCCAAAGTGCTGTGTGATTGGCAGCCGGTGTTGCAGTCTGTCATGGTTTTCAGTTGGAGATCCATCGGCTTTGAAGGAGCCCATACGTTGGATCTGGCGTTGGTCCTGTGGGATACAGATCATATAACTGTCAGACTAAACATGGCTGCAAGGTTGGGGCTCATGCACATGACCATGATAAATACTGATCATCTATGCGGGATCTTTCTGGCAGATAGTTACACAAAGATCCTGTGTACAGGTGCATGAATTGGTGCGTAAAGTGCTTCTGCATATGTCAGTGTATAGTTAAAGCCCAGCTCCACCCAAAAGAGGAAATTCGGCTTTAAGTCTTCGCTCCCCCATAAGGATTGGCACCCTTGGGGAGCAGCAAGGTTCCCGAATTTGACAGGTACCCGCTCCCACATTAACCTAGGCCAGGGGCGGGCAACTGTGGCCCTTCAACTGTTGTAGAACTACAAGTCCCATGAGGCATTGCAAAACTGACAGTTACAAGCATGACTCCCAAAGACAGAGGCGTGATAGGACTTGTAGTTCACCACCAACAGCAAGCTGTCACAGCCGGGTGCCCACACTGAAGATGGCGGTGTGAGGACACCGCAGGATCAGGGGACAGACAGTTTTTTGTAGTTGCTGACTTTTATTTCTTTAGAATGTTGACTGGAGTCCAGTGGTGGACTGACCTTTTGGAAACTCGGGGCACTGCCCAAGGGCCTGGGGTCAGTAGGGGGCCCCATGAGATGCCCCTGGTACATTTTTCATAGGCTTTTTTGAGTTTGGGCAAGGACACAGGGGCCCCACGATCCACTATTGCCCGGGGGGCCCCATGAGTTGTCAGTCCGCCCCTGGACTGGACCTCCGCTTTAAGTATACATCTGTACAGCATATAGGAGAGTAAAATTCCATTGCATTAAATGTATGCGGGTCACTTTTAATAAAGGTCCCGATTCCTTATCAAATGTGAAAATGTGACAATTACAGTATTAAAAAGAGGCGCACTGTCAGCTTCAGGCAGCAGTGACATGCGGGTTAGAGAGGTTATTTGATGTGAATAAACCTCCACCCTGCTCCTGATCACTATGATTGGCAGTCATAGTGATCACATGACTGGAAACCACACTGATTGGTTCCCCAATGCTAAGGGAAACCCTTAGCTGTTGTTTTCCAATGCAGTCTGAGAACTACTGCTTGCTCCTAGTTCTTATCTGGAATGTCAATTCTCACCAGGTCCTGATTTATATTTCCTGCCCCCCCCCCGGAAATCTGTTTTTTGTTGCTGCCCCCACCTAGCTCAGTTGATTGGCAAACTTTAGTATTTATTTATTTATTTTAGGTCCTTATCAGGGGCGGACTGACAACTCATGGGGCCCCCAGGCAATAGGGAATCATGGGGCCCCTGTGTCCTTGCCCAAACTCAAAAAAGCCTATGAAAAAGGTACCAGGGGCATCTCATGGGGCCCCCTACTGACCTCGGGCCCTCGGGCAGTGCCTGAGTTTCCAAATGGTCAGTCCGCCCCTGGTCCTTATATAGCGCCATCAGTTTATGCAGCACTTTACATATATATATATTGTACATTCACATCAGTCCCTAACCCTCAAGGGGTGTACAATCTAAGGTCCCTAACTCACATTCATACATACACATACTAGGGACAATTTATACAGGAGCCAATTAACCTACCAGCATGTCTTTGGAGTGTGGGAGGAAACTGGAGTACCCGCAGGAAACCCACGCAGACACAGGGAGAACATGCAAACTCCAGGCAGGTGGTGCTGTGGTTGGAATTAGAGCCAACAACCCTAGTACTGCCAGGCGGAAGTGCTAACCATTTAGCCACTGTGCTGCCCCACATAGTATTTCACTATCAAAGACAGACAATATACGCACAAGAGGCTTGCCATGATTGGTGGTGGAGAGGCTGAAAAAGCCTTCTTGCCAGCATGGCATCAATGCATCTAGGAACAGCTACTAGGAAAATAGGCATTTGTTCACCTAATTTGCAGTCAGTTCAGTTGCACATATAACGACCCAGACACAGTGAACTGCAGGCATACAGTATAGCACAACTATGACCGTGCCGAACAACACACATACCATGCAGAACAAAACAAGGATGATGGTACTGGCAGGCAGGCTGGCATTCTTAAACAGAAGGAATGTATTACAGGCAATAACATGCTCTGTGGTTGTCTGAGTGCTTCTCTTGGCAGTCTTAGGCCACAGCCTGTGTTGGCTTTGCAGAAATCCAGTCCTGATTCTCAAGAATGTACGTAGCTTTATATACTATATTGCTGAAAGTATTGGTCGGCCGGCCTTTACACGCACATGAACTTGAATGGCTCCCCAGTCTTAGTCTTCAATATTGAGTTGGCCCAATCTTTGCAGCTATAACAGCTTCAACTCTTCTGGGAAGGCCGTCCACAAGGTTTAGGAGGGTGTCTATGGGAAGGTTTGACCATTCTTCCAGAAGCACATTTGTGAGGTCAGGCACTGATGTTCGGACGAGGAGGCCTGGCTCACAGTCTCCACTCTAATTCATCCCAAAGGTGTTCTATGGGGTTGAGGTCAGGTCTCTGTGCAGGCCAGTCAAGTTCCTCCACCCCAAACTCACTCTCCATGTCTTTATGGACTTTGCTTTTGTACACTGGTGCGCAGTCATGTTGGAACAGGAAGGGGCCATCCCCAAACTCTTCCCACAAAGTTGGGAGCATGAAATTGTCCAAAATGTCTTGGAATGCTGACGCCGTAAGAGTTCCCTTCAATGGAACTAAGGGGCCAAGTCCAACCCCTGAAAAACAACCCCACACCATAATCCCCCCTCCACCAAACTTTACACTTGGCACAATGCAGTCAGGCAAGTACCGTTCTCCTGGCAACCGCCAAATCCAGACACGTCTATCGGATTGCCAGACAAAGAAGCGTGATTGGTCACTCCAGAGAACACGCCTCCAATGCTCTAGAGTTCAGTGACTACTCTCTTGCTTTCCACCTGCTAAGATCTTGGCCTGGATCTGACTATGCTTTTGCCTGATGAAATCAGCAATAAAGGTCTGCACACCACTAAAAAAGCGGAACTAAACTGCATCTGAACACCACAAGCCCACAACAAAAAAAAAATCATTTTTAACCTTCCTAGCGGTATGATTAGGTCAGTGTTTCTGTGCTCAAAGCGGTACATTTTTTTGCATGAAAATGTCATTTTTTTTATTGTAGGCCTGTAATCCTTAGCAATAACTCACTGAAATCTGTCCAAACAAGAGTCTAGTAAACATCCCGGGTATGATAAAATATGAAACATGAAATCATAAATTATAATATAATAAATAATCATAAAAATAATAATATAATAATAATAAATTTAATTCAATAATGTCATCAAACCAAAAACACTGAAATTTGAAATAGAGCGCCAAGTTCGCACATCGCTGAGCAAAAGTCGCAGAATCGTTTTCAGTGTCTGATGATGAATTTCCCCCACGAATCATTATCACTCAATTCTGCAGGGGGGACACCGTGGGAGCGAAGGACAAGGTAAGTGCTGGAGCAGGGGCGGACTGAAAACTCATGGGGCCCCCTGGGCAATAGGGGATCATGGGCCCCTGTGTCCTTGCCCAAACTCAAAAAAACCTATGAAAAAGGTACCAGGGGCATCTCACGGGGCCCCCCCTACTGACCCCGGGCCCTCGGGCAGTGCCCAAGTTTCCAAACAGTCAGTCCGCCCCTGGTACCACCACGCTAGCATCCCTTTTATACCTGTAAAATGAAAAGTCCCGGTTTGACTTGAACGCCCCTCGTATTACAGTTTTTTACCAGAACAGTATTAAAGGGGAAATATTACACCTGTTTTACACCTGTTCTAGTAACAACTATTTAAAAGTACATTTCCTGTAAATTTGGAGGGATTTCCACTCACTTTCTGTTTTGTTACCAGGAGAGGAAACCTCCCCAAAAGGACATTGACAGCAAACAAAAAAAAAACTGAGTCATTAAAAGGTTTAACAGGCTTCTGTATGCTTTTACTGCCAGAGGAGAGGGTTCTAATGACCTTGCTGTGAAAAGTAATAATCATAACGTGCAGAATTGTCCAAATCAAAAAAGGGGACACCCAAGAGTTGAAAGGCATAGGGACCTTCAAGGCCTGGTCACTGATTAACTGACCTCTGAATTCTTACCTTGTGTTTAATGCGTCTCTTCATTTCCTGCAGACTGGTCTTGGCTTGACCCTTTGCCTAGAATGAAATCATACCAAATATAACACCCATCCAAAAACACACCAAAACCAAGCAAAATAAAGAGAGGGAGTGTAGGTGCCCCCTCTAGGCCATCGAAATTCTGGCAAGAACATACAGTATTAGGACAAATGTGCACTCACTAACTCGCTTCTTGGAAACCAAGTCTGTCCAAAAAATAGTGTAGTTAGAAGGTTTGAAGTAAGCACCCACTTTTCCCCTTCTTCCCCACAACTACCCTGGTTATTTCCAGTTCCATTTCATACTAATATAAAGGAGTGCAGATACGACTTTCCACACATGTGGTGGAGAAAACCAATCTCACCAAGCCAGGGTCATTTGTTGAGTATCAGTAGTTTTCAGTATATTTAAAGTGTTACTAAACCCAGGACCCTGCATTCACTATATCTGGTCTCCCCGGACCCTGCATTCACTATATCTGGTCTCCCCGGACCCTGCATTCACTATATCTGGTCTCCCCGGACCCTGCATTCACTATATCTGGTCTCCCCGGACCCTGCATTCACTATATCCGGTCTTCCCAGACCCTGCATTCACTATATCTGGTCTCCCCGGACCCTGCATTCACTATATCTGATCTCCCCGGACCCTGCATTCACTATATCTGGTCTCCTAGGACCCTGCATTCACTATATCTAGTCTCCCACAGTACACAAAACATGGAAATGCAATTATTTTAGTAAATATAAACTGCTAAATACCTTTTTTTGTCAGCAGTATATAGCAGTATGGTGATTCATATCAGTGTTCAGCTGATCACTGGTTAAAGTTTGGGAGTTTTCATTCTGCCCTGACTGTCCTTTGAGGCTGCCTGACCCTGACCCTCTGTCTGGACAGTGCTGATTGTTTCTGTGCTGATCACATGCACCTTTCCAAAGAAACAAAACCTCTCTAGCCAGCCATACACACTAAACTGAGCATGTGCAGAGTGCCTCCTAGAGCTCTGTACTATCAGCAGATGGATTGGGGACAGTAGAAGAGGAGGCTCAGAGAAGACAGAATCAAACAGCCTTTTTACACAATGTGGAGTTTAGCCCCTTAGGTTCTACAGTGAGTATAACAAGCATGCTGTCCTGCATATACAGACTGATTTTACTGTTGTGGGTTTAGTAATACTTTAATTGTACAACATTTATGTCATACTGTCACTGGCTATGATTCACAGATTTTTGTTCCTGGGTTCCTAGATCCCCATCCCCAGCAGATTTCCCATTTATCATATTGGTTTTTGGAGGTGGAGCAGCAGAATGGAAACTGAAACACCCACAGCAATGGCAAGGCACCTCTTGCAGTGGTACAGTATACAGTAGGTTCTCACAAGCTGGAGTTGAAGGACTTTGTTATGTGGTTTGTATTGGTATTCAAAAATTACTTTTATATATTATCTCTGAATTCATTCTCCTTTAAGAAAGACCAAGATGACCCTAAAGAAATGTTTCCATTACATAATGATGAAGCTGTTGTGTGTTCTGTAATATACTGTTGTAGCCAGGGCCGTCTTAATGGCATCATGGACCCCTAAGGCAAAGTAATGCACTGGGACCCCTACCAGCCTGCCCCAATGTTTGCACCTACTCTCAGGAATTAAAGTATAAATTGTTCATAGAATTAAACATACAGTATATTTATTAGTACTTTCAATAAAATCAAATTTAACAATAAGAAAACATGCCATAAATCAAAGACTAATCAACACAAAGGTCACAGTACAGGGGGTAGGCAGGAAGGCACAGTACAGCAGAGACAGGAGGGGGCACAGTACAGGGGATAGGCAGGGGGGCCACAGTACAGCAGATAGGCAGGAGGGCACAGTACAGGGGATAGGCAGGGGGGCCACAGTACAGGGGATAGGCAGGAGGGCACAGTACAGGGGATAGGCAGGGGCACAGTACAGCAGAGACAGGATAGGGGGGCCACAGTACAGGGGATAGGCAGGGGGGCCACAGTACAGCAGAGACAGGAGGGCACAGTACAGGGGGGTAGGCAGGAGGTCCTAGTACAGGGGGGGGAGGCAGGAGGGGGGTACAGTACAGGGGCGAAGCAGGAGGGGGGCCACAGTACAGCAGAGACAGGAGAGCACACAGTACAGGGGATAGGCAGGAGGTTACAGTACAGGGGCGAGGCAGGAGGGGGGCCACATTACAGCAGAGACAGGAGGGCACAGTACAGGGGATAGGCAGGGGGCCACAGTACAGCAGAGACAGGGGGCCACAGTACAGGGGGTAGGCAGGAGGTCACAGTACAGGGGAGAGGCAGGAGGAGGGCCACAGTACAGCAGAGACAGGAGGGCACAGTACAGGGGGTAGGCAGGAGGTCACAGTACAGGGGATAGGCAGGGGGGCCACAGTACAGCTGAGACAGGAGGGCACAGTACAGGGGGTAGGCAAGGGGGCACAGTACAGCAAAGACAGGAGAGGCACAGTACAGGAGGTAGGCAGGAGGGCACAGTACAGGGGAGAGGCAGGAGGAGGGCCACAGTACAGCAGGGACAGGAGGGCACAGTACAGGGGGTAGGCAGGAGGTCACAGTACAGGGGATAGGCAGGGGGGCCACAGTACAGCTGAGACAGGAGGGCACAGTACAGGGGGTAGGCAGGAGGGCACAGTACAGGGGATAGGCAGGGGGGGCACTGTACAGGGGGTTGGCAGGAGGGCACAGTACAGGGGATAGGCAGGGGGGGCACAGTACAGGGGTAGGCAGGAGGGCACAGTACAGCAGAGACAGGAGGGAACAGTACAGGAGGTAGGCAGGAGGGCACAGTACAGCAGAGACAGGAGGGAACAGTACAGGAGGTAGGCAGGGGGACAACAGGGCACAGTACAGGGGGGAGATGTCATTTCAATTGTAGATTTAGCCCAGTGACAGGCTGCGGCTGTCCCCATAGCCCAGGTTCCGGGACGCTGCCTGGGACTTGGCCATTGGGACAGCTTAGTAAAAACCATGACTGTCCTGGCAAATCCGGGACAGTTAGCAAGTATGATGAAATGCAAGGGTATCATTGGGCCACCATGCACCCGGGCCCATGCATTAAGATAGCCCTGGTTGTAGCATGAGCTGTGTGACGGCAGCAGTACGGACAACATCTACTGCTGGAATTATTAATGTCAGGCCGAGTAATTCTCAGACATTCAGGAGAAGCCTTGTAGTTTTATCGATGAGTACAAGGCTTTCTCTGATTGGTTGAAGTGGAAATAGTGATGTCATTCATCTGCCTCTCCTCCTCAACCAATCAGAGGGAGCCTTGTATTCATTGATAAAAATACAAGGGTTCACTTGAATGGCTGAGAAGCGCTCAACACAAGCCTTTTTTTTTTTAATTCCGACAACAGATGGGAAGTCACTTTTACTCAGGGGCGGACTGACCATTTGGAAACTCGGGCACTGCCCGAGGGCCCGGGGTCAGTAGGGGGCCCCATGAGATGCCTCTGGTACCTTTTTCATAGGCTTTTTTTTAGTTTGGGCAAGGACACAGGGGCCCCATGATCCCCTACTGCCCGGGGGCCCCATGAGTTGTCAGTCCGCCCCTGCTTTTACTACTGCTGGGATACAGCGCTGCTTACTGTATCTAGCTGATGCTACTACAATATATTACAAGGCACACAATGGCCTCATTGTTATGTAATGGAAATAATTAATTTTGGCCAGCTTGGCCCAAATGAACTATTTAAAGTGATAGGAAAGCTTGAATTTCTACTTTAGTTTCAAGATTATTATGACAAATGTTGTTGAACAGAGCAGGATGGTGTAAAATATGGTCAAATATGCTAGGTATGCTATAATATTTAAACATTCTACAATTTGCTGATGTCACTAGTGTTCCATGAACTGTAGGTATAATTATTTTTAGCCAGGGTTTCTCGAGATCTGAAAACATTTTAAGGGTTCCTTCATGTTAGAAAGGTTGTGAAAGAATGTATTAGATAGTATGTGATGTATTGCTGTTGAGTAGAGACTCTCTGCTTCAGTAAGCATGCATGGCAAGGAAACCTCCGGCTGACAACATTTTACACAAATGCGTAATAAGATGACGCATCTGGTGAGTGCGTAATCTTAACATATTCCTGGCACTTCACCGAGTATCGTTTAAGTATTTGAAGCACTTGTTATAAGATCATTCTTGGATGGATCTTCACTATTAGCACTTTATGGACATTGATATACTATTGAACTTGATATTTTAGCACTTTATGTGCTCACGACCTTCACTATATTAGCACACTATTATGGATATGATCTTTCAGCACAAATATTTGCACTTTGTCACCTTATATCTGAATATTATTTATTTTGCACGTAATTTATCTGATCATATTGCATTGGATTATTTGGTTTCTACATATCTGAAGCGCTGCCCCATTTGTATTTTATTGTGCCTGGAGGTTGTTTTTGGTTACCTTTTTGGTGCATCAGCTGATTTTGGTTTTAGCGCTCACTTTTCTGCCTTGATTTTATGGCAAGGAAACCTGTTTACTGGCAGTCTGCAAAGTGTTATTGGTTCTATTAGAAAATCTTTAAAGTGAAATTACCACCCCTGCCTGAAAACAAATGCCATAGGACACCCATTATTATCTTTGGTACCCAGAAAAATCTCTTTAGAACTCCCCCCCCTGAAACTGGTGGCAAAGCATAGCTAGGTCTATCTACATACTTCTATCTGAGACCAAAGCCAATATTGTTGGGAATGCAACAGCATGTACCATAATGTACTGTATATAGTATTTCTGTGTTAATATCACTTGACCAGTAGATGGCACTGTACACTAAAGGTTACTAGTTGTGCATATGTGTAAGACTTGTGTTGGTTCTATGTCTTCTCTCATCTCTATCTTCAGGAAGTAATATGTCTGCTACCACTGTTATACATTGCTGAAATGTGCTCTGTATGTTTGTAACTTAAGCCACACAAGTAAAGTCAGACGTCTGCCTCATCACTACCAGTGTCTTCTCTAACACATAACCAACAAATATTAGGATCAGGTTGCATTGAGGTAGAGGAAATAATAAACTTATTTCTGCTGCTTAGTGTGAATATCATTTCTGCATTCCCGACTGTAAGAGAGTCCTTGAAAACTCTGCCATCTCCCTAAGAGCTGTCACCCAGACTTGGAGAAGACCCAAACTCTACAACACTTGTAAACTGCTCTGTGACATGAGCCAGAGAGGCTTTTCTGACCAAGAGAGGTGATAGGAGGCATCATGGCATACTGTATCTGCTGTTAGCCAGGACTTTGAATTTAAACTTTTGAAATGGATGACAGGTTCACTTTTACACACTGTGAATTGTTTTGGAAAAGGTTATTGGTGTTCTCTATTCAGAAAAGGCCAACTGTTCCCGTACAACGTCCAGGACTGACATGAACCCCAAATAAATCGTGAAGGTCCTTACATATCGTAGCATGTTCCTGACAGTAGGATGTGTTCTGTTCTTCATATTAATGATCAACGTTCCTCCTCCTTTCTGGGTGACAGAAACAAAGATTTGAGACAGATACATTAATACATATATATTTTAGATGATTGTTTAGAGACTAATAAAAGGTTGCAGAATGTCTGATATCTGAATTTTGATTATACTGTATATTGACTATTGAAATAGCACATAGTAAGTCAAAATTTAGCCATTCTTTGGACAAATTATGAATGGATGGGCTGTGTTCTCATGAAGTGTCAGAGATGTCACTGGTCTGTAATGAATGAACAGATTGTGTTCTCATGAATATGAAGGTCTCAGAGATGTCACTGGTCTGTAGTGAATGGAAGGATTGTGTTCCCATGAATATGAAGATCTCAGTGATGTCACTGGTCTGTAATGAATGGACGGGCTGTGTTCTCATGAATATGAAGGTCTCAGTGATGTCACTGGTCTGTAATGAATGGACGGGCTGTGTTCTCATGAATATGAAGGTCTCGGTGATGTCACGGTCTCTAGTGAATGGATAGGCTGTGTTCTCATGAATATGAAGGGTCTCAGTGATGTCACTGGTCTCTAGTGAATGGACAGGCTGCGCTCTCATGAATACGAAGGGTCTCGGCGATATCACAGGTCTCTAGTAAATGGGCGGGCTGCGTTTTCATGAATATAAAGGTCGCAGTGATATCACTGGTCTCTAATAAATGGACAGGCTGTGTTCTCATGAATATGAAGGGTCTCGGCGATATCACTGGTCTCTAGTGAATGGGTGGCCTGTGTTCACATGAATATGAAGGGTCTCTGTGATATCAATGGTCTCTAGTGAATGGACGGGCTGTGTTCTCATGAATATGAAGGTCTCAGTGATGTCTCTTCTCTCTTGTAAATAGACAGGCTGTGTTCTTATGAATATGAAGGGTCTTGGTGAAATCCCTGGTCTCTAGTGAATGGACGGGCTGTGTTCTCATGAATATGAAGGTCTCAGTGATGTCACTGGTCTCTAGTGAATGGACGGGCTGCGTTCTCATGAATATGAAGGTCTCAGTGAAGTCACTGGTCTCTAGTGAATGGACGGGCTGTGTTCTCATGAATATGAAGGTCTCAGTGATGTCACTGGTCTCTAGTGAATGGACGGGCTGCGTTCTCATGAATATGAAGGGTCTCAGTGATGTCACTGGTCTCTAGTGAATGGGCAGGTTGTGTTCTCATAAATGTAAGTCTCCATGAGCTCACTAGTAAAACGAATGATGTACTGTGTTTATGTAAGTAAAGCATATGTTCAACAATTTGAAAGCTTAATTTAAGCAGTTTGCTAGACTGCGGGCTAAATACTGGGAAAACCTGCAGTATTAAAGTATAGAAACTAAGTGGAATTTGTTATGGGTCTATTTAATTACTGCCCTTCCAGTCAGGAATCTGGCAGCATCTGGTAGTATATGATCAGGGGCGGACTGACAACTCATGGGGCCCCCGGGCAATAGGGGATCATGGGGCCCCTGTGTCTTTGCCCAAACTCAAAAAAGCCTATGAAAAAGGTACCAGGGGCATCTCATGGGGCCCCCTACTGACCCCGGGCCCTCAGGCAGTGCCTGAGTTTCCAAATGGTCATTCTGCCCTTGTATATGATAATAAACCAAAGTAGCAGATAAGAGTAGAAATAATTGCTACCAATGTAGTAATTACTGTATTTTTCACTCCATAAGTCACACTTTTTTCCCCCCAAAAACGGGGGGAAAATGTCAGTGCGTCTTATGGAGCGAATATGGAGCGGCCGGTCCGGTATTTCCACCGCCGCCGTGTCAGAATACTGGGCCGGCCGCTCAGCTCTGCAGCAAGACCTTACCTGTTCCTCGGTCCATCGCTGCACAGTCTTCCCGCCTTCTTTAGTGTGGGCTCTCGGCTTGACAGCCGGGTGCCCAGTGCGCATGCGCGAGTAGCGCTGCACTTTGTGAATGGTATGGCGTTTTCTGGGACACATGACAGGTCACAAAGCGCAGCACTTCTCGTGCATGCGCACTGGGCACCGGGGCTGTCAGGCGGGTGCCCACACTAAAGGGAGGACAACTCCACGGAAGTGGGAGCGGGTACCTGTCAAATTCAGGTACCCGCTCCCCCTCCCTCCCCAAAGGTCAGCAGTCATCCCCTGCACTGTCCGCAGTCTCTGGTCATCCCCTGCACTGTCCGCAGTCTCTGGTCATCCCCTGCACTGTCCGCAGTCTCTGGTCATCTCCTGTACTGTCCGCAGTCTCTGCTCATCCCCTGCACTGTCCGCAGTCTCTGCTCATCCCCTGCACTGTCTGCAGTCTCTGCTCATCCCCTGCACTGTCCGCAGTCTCTGCTCATCCCCTGCACTGTCCGCAGTCTCTGGTCATCCCCTGCACTGTCCGCAGTCTCTGCTCATCCCCTGCACTGTCTGCAGTCGCTGCTCATCCCCTGCACTGTCCGCAGTCTCTGGTCATCCCCTGCACTGTCCGCAGTCTCTGGTCATCCCCTGTACTATGTCCGCAGTCTCTGGTCATCTCCTGTAGTATGTCCGCAGTCTCTGGTCATCTCCTGTACTGTGTCCGCAGTCTCTGGTCATCCCCTGTACTATGTCCGCAGTCTCTGGTCATCCCCTGCACTGTCCGCAGTCTCTTGGTCATCCCCTGTGCTATGTCTGCAGTCCATTGGTTCAGAATATTTTTTATCTTGTTTTCTGCCTCTAAAACCTAGGTGCGTCTTATGGAGTGAAAAATACGGTAGATATAAAATCCACCAAAGCTTTACAACAATTTGTCTGTATCCATCCTGCTTTGGATATCATACTTTAGGCACAATTCACAAAGCACTTTTCTTCTTGCTTGGCTGGTATTTTATTGATGCCATACTTTACATATTTTTTTAGGGCCCCTTCACAGCATTGTGCGACATCATGGTACATTACCGCACATTTGTTAGGTGGTATGCTTTACATTAATATGCGATACGTTAAAGCAGCCATCTCATTTTGGTAACATGCAGCAAAACACGCATTCTACTGTTCTTTACCACAACAAATAGGTGTGAAGTTGGCCCGAATGTTCATTTCACAAAGGTGCTTAATATACTGTATATCATGCTTTTTTGTTCAGTGTGAAAGTCAGCTCATGGACTAACATACACTAGCTTCAATCTCATGAGAACTGTGAGTTTCAATGTGCTGTCTATGGAAGAGAACAGGAAACTTAGCTGTTAAAGGTGGTGATTAACTAACACTTTGAGATAAAATAATTAATTTTGGATTTAGTGATACCCTGTGAGAGCCGCTGGTTTTGTGTCCTCCTATTTTCCTGCACAGCCAGTCAACACACATTTTCCAACTCCCGTTCAGGATCAGTAGCCAGTCCATGGGCTTGTTTTTGTTGTTTTATTTAGGGGTAAACAACTGGGATAGAGTCTAGGGGTATATGGGATGCCCAACTTGACTTGAAACCAATACTCTGAGGACAAAAATGTAGGATCCTGGACTTTCTGCTCCCTCCTGAGTGGCAACAGTCTCTTCACAGATCAGTAACACAGTCTTTGTAAGGAGCACATGGTCCCCCCCTAAATGAACCTCTTCAAATCCCCAGCTAGAACTACCCATCCAACTGGCTGTTTTTTGAAAAGTATCCCAAAGCAAGAGATCCCGAAACAGGCTTGAAGCACTGTTCCAGGGAGAACTGGTTAAATATAGCACCTAGCAGCCCTCTCTCCTGTAGGAGTGTAGAGGTACTCACACTGTCCTTGTGCCCTGCAGATTTGGATGAACTGCTTTCAGGCTTTTGCTGCGCTGCTTTCCTTCCAGGATACACAGGCTATCCTTCCTTGGTGAACAGTAAGGCAGTGGCGCTCCCTCTGTCTGCTTCCTTCCAACCTCCAGCCTGGAGCAGGAGCGGACTGACCATTTGGAAACTCGAGCACTGCCCGAGGGCCCGAGGCAGTAGGGGGCCCCATGAGATGCCCCTGGTACCTTTTTCATAGGCTTTTTTGAGCTTGGGTAAGGACACAGGGGCCCCATGATCCCCTATTGTCCCGGGGCCCCATGAGTTGTCAGTCCACCCCTGGCCTGGAGGCAGAGCCCCCCTCCTCCAGGGGCCCCCTTTTAGGCTAACAGCAAGACTCCACAGTACTCCATCTTCCACCCAACTTCCCTGCTGGCCAGGCTCGCTCATATTTATGGGCCAGTCTACCACACTGCCAGGCCTTCTTCCTGGGATTGGTCAAGCTCCCATGAATATGCAGATCAGCTCCTCCTGGCCTCCACCTACTGGTTTCTAGAAATTTCTGCAAGCTTCTAGAGCAGGGGGAGGTAAAATAGGACTGACCTGTGGAGCCTTCTAGCCAGACCTGAAGTAAACCCTCTGACTCACACCCAGGCTTCTAGCAAGCCTCTAACTACACTTACAAACTATGTACACTAGAGGGCTCTACATGGGTATAGAAGGCAAAGTTTAAATAAACCCTCTCACAAGGAAAATAATAAAAATTTCACACCTTAGCAAAATGGAGCACTTTACATTCTTAGGAGCAAGGTATCTACACATCTCATTTTCCATCACAAATCCAAAATCATAGAGTTTCACTCCTCAGTTAAGGATATTAGGTTGAGCCAAACATCATTTCTTGGACCAACAGGACATCCAAAATCACTGATTTATATAGCATAGCACACATTAATATAATAAAGCCAGCTGTTTCAGGCTTGGTGACCATCATTAGTGCAGTGTATGGACATCATGGGGTGGATTTACTAAAGGCAAATAGACTGTATGCTTTGGAAGTGTGCACTCTGCAAGAGCATTTGCTCCAGAGCTTAGCAAATGAGATGAAGCTTCACTTTGCAAAGAATACCCAATCACGTGCAAGGAAATTTAAAAAAATGCATTTTTGCTTGTACATGACTGGATGGTGGAGGTCAGTAAAGTTTTCCCTCATTTACTAAGCATTGGAACAACTGCCCTTTTAGAGTGCAGCTTGCATGGTCTATCTGCTTTTAGTTGATCCACACTCATGATTTCTATGAAATGGGGAGCAGTGGAGCAAGAAAGTATAACCAGAGCTATTATGGTTGATGTAGGCTAAAGGAACAGCTGAGGGCAAATGTAATATTTTAGGGAGAAAATGATCATAACATAAAAGAAGAGTTACATAAAGAAGAAGAAGCTGTGGGGTGACTTCCCAATCTGGTGGCCTCACTCTTGGAGCACTGTAGGAAGCCTTCAGTGAAGCGTATACAGGATGTCTAAGCACATGAGCTGGAGATGCTCTGGACACACAGCAATGTTGATGAACCTATGCTGAAGGTATTTTATTTGGAGTGCTTGTTGGAAATTCATAAGGACAAGCCCTTCTGGCATCGTACTAGACCCAAAATGCACTGTTATAATGGTCTCATGAATCTTACTTTACCTTGAGGTTTTCTAGCCACAGCTGGTAAGAACGGGAGGCCCCTGTGGAAAAACAGAAGATCTTTCACATAATCTAATAATCTACAGAGACTGATCAAAGGGAACTTTGGTATTTATGAAACTCAAGCAGCATAAAAAACAAAACCTACCAAACAAACCATACATGGCCAAAACATAAGGAGGAAATGTTTTATTTGCATATTTTGATTATTATAGTTCTGCGTCTTTTTGTTGTCAGACACATAAGAAGTACAAGGTTCAAACTCCAAGCGGTACTTATAACTCTGACAATTTGGGCCGCATGATGCTTCCTGGATTGTCCAAGTTATGTTGTCACAAGGACTTTTAGCCCGGGTTCACACTGATGCGGTGCGGAATTCTCACCGGTTTCTGTGCGAATTCTACACAGCATCACAATCGCACCCCGTTCATGCAAACCGCTGCGGGTGTGTATGTTAAGTTAACAACACCCCGAAATCGGTCCAAAAAACGCGATGCGATGTGCAGAATCAGATCGCATAGGTGTGAATACCCATGCGATCCAATTCTAGTGCGGACTAAAAAAAAGGGTCCTGCACATTTTTGGTGCGGATGCGGTGTGATTTGAGCCACACAGAATTTGCATGTCATTTGCGCAGGAATATGGTGCCGTTTCTGTGTGAATCAAATGCGATAAGCTGACCACACAAGTGTGAACCAGTGGGGGGGGGGGGGGGGGGGGGGGGGGGGGGGGGGGGGGGCAGGCTGACACTCAGATCTTCTTCTACAAAGCACATCCATTGGTTCTTACCAGGGGCGGACTGACAACTCATGGGGCCCCCGGGCAATAGGGGATCATGGAGCCCATGTGTCCTTGCCCAAACTCAAAAAAGCCTATGAAAAAGGTACCAGGTAAAAGGAATCTCATGGGGCCCCCTACTGACCCCGGGCCCTTGGGCTGTGCCCGAGTTTCCAAATGGTCAGTCCGCCCCTGGTTCTTACCATTCCCTACAGCAAATGGCCGTGAATTTAATTGGGTAAAACCTTTGGACAAACTGTATGAGGGAACATCAGTCCTTTACTATATTATCAATTCATGTACATGTGATGGACTCCTGAGACCCCAACTGGGTGTCTCTGCCATGAAGCTGCTTCCCAAACTCTGGAGCACGAGGTAAGTGACTATAGCTCTAGCTATTCCAAATAACTAGACAACACCAGTTTTAGGAGCAAACAAGAAGAACTACTTTATTGTAGAAACACACTGATTTTTACAGAAAACCATCAGATAAGAGCTAATCACATTCTCATAGACAATTCCTTCTCCAGACAGTCTGGCTCCTGGATTACTTGAAAATACAAATAGGCCTACTTCACACTGGCATTGAAAGCAGGCATGTGAGGGACGTTTTTAACCCCTTCACGCTGGCGCCTCCCGCCCCTTTAAGAGTTTCAGAAGGCGGGAGGTTTAGGGTCATGTGACCGCCGTGATGTGCCATCACGGCGGTCACATGATCGGGAAAGGTCCCGATCGAAAGAGGAGATCAGGACCTTTCCGTGAGTACCAGACACATGTGCTGGGAGCGCGCAGGGCGCGCGCTCTCGGCACATACAGTTGCAAGAAAAAGTATGTGAACCCCTTGGGATTACGTGGAGTTTTGCATGGATTGGGCATAAAATGTGCTCTGAACGTCATCTAAGTCACAACAATAGAAGAACACAGTCTGCTGAACATAATACTACACAAACATTAGATGTTGCCATGGTTTAATTGCACATAACATGTAAACATTCACAGTGCAGGGAGGAAAAAGTATGTGAGGCCCTAGCTTAATGACTTCTCCCAGAGCTAATTGGAGCCAGGAGTGAGCCAACCTTGACTCCAATCAGTGTGATGATATTGGATGTGTTGCTGACAGCAGTCCTGCCCTTAAAAAACACACACCTGTTTTGGGTTTACTGGTTTCAAGAAGCACTGTCTGATGTGAACCATGCCTCGCAGAAAAGAGCTCTCAGAAGACCTACGATCCAGAATTGTTGACTTGCATGAAGCTGGAAAGGGTTACAAAAGTATCTCCAAAAGCCTTGATGTTCATGTGTCCACGGTAAGACAGACTGTCTATAAATGGAGAAAGTTTAGCACTGTTGCTACTCTCCCTAGGCGTGGTCGTCCTATAAAAATGACTGCAAGAGCACAGCGCAGAATGCTGCATGAGGTACGGAAGAATCCCAGAGTGTCAGCTAAAGACCTACAGAAATCTCTGGCACATGCTAACATTTTTGTTGACACGTCTACAATAAGGAAAACATTAAACAAGAATGGAGTACATGGAAGGACACCACGGAGGAAGCCATTGCTGTCCAAAAAGAATATTGCAGCACGTTTGAAGTTTGCAAAAGAGCAGCTGGATGTTCCACAGCACTACTGGCAAAATATACTGTGGACAGATGAAACCAAGATTGAGTTGTTTGGGAAGAACACACAACACTATGTGTGGAGAAAAAAAGGCACAGCACACCAACATCAAAACCTCATCCCCACTGTAAAACATGGCGGAGGGAGCATCATGGTTTGGGGCTGCTTTGCTGCCTCAGGGCCTGGACGGATTGTTGTCATTGATGGGAAAATGAATTCCAGAGTTTATCAAGACATTTTGCAGGAAAACGTACGACCATCTGTCCGCCAACTGAAGCTCCGCAGAGGATGGGTGATGCAACAGGACAATGACCCAAAGCATACAAGTAATTCAACAAAACAATGGCTGCAACAGCACAGAATACGCCTTCTGGAGTGGCCCAGTCAGAGTCCTGACCTCAACCCGATTGAAATGCTGTGGCATGACCATAAGAGAGCGATTCACACCAGACATCCAAGAATATTGCTACACTGAAACAGTTTTGTGAAGAGGAGTGGTCCAAAATTACTCCAGATCGTTGTGCAGGTCTGATCTGCAACTACAGGAAACGTTTGGTTGAGGTTATTGCTGCCAAAGGAGGGTCAACCAGTTATAAAGTCCAAAGGTTCACATACCTTTTCCTCCCTGCACTGTGAATGTTTACATGTTATGTGCAATTAAACCATGGCAACATCTAATGTTTGTGTAGTATTATGTTCAGCAGACTGTGTTCTTCTATTGTTGTGACTTAGATGACGTTCAGAGCACATTTTATGCCCAATTCATGCAAAACTCCACGTAATCCCAAGGGGTTCACATATTTTTTCTTGCAACTGTATGTCCTTCTTTAATAGAACGCAAATGTGTGGCCGCTCGGCATCTAGGCCCAGATGCCGGGAGGCCACACATTTGTGTTCAGCCGGCGTGAAGAGGTTAATGCTCTTCAAATGCCTATGCACATGATACTATGGGCAGTGTTGTTCAGATTATCAAAACATGAAGCATTAGCATAGCATTGCTTCAAAATGTATGCCTCATGTTGAGTCTGGAGGAGTTTGAAGCCTTTCAACGCCTTTCATTCCAGTTTATGGTGATGTTCCCCAAACACACTGGCAGGCGTTTTCAGTGCAGTTGCAGCATGGTAATAACATTACAGTCAGGGGGCCCGAGGGCCCCAGGGTCAGTAGGGGGCCCCATGAGATGCCCCTGGTACCTTTTTCATAGGCTTTTTTGAGTTTGGGCAAGGACACAGGGGCCCCATGATCCCCTATTCCCCGGGGGCCCCATGAGTTGTCAGTCCACCCCTGATTACATTTTTTTATAGGCATTTGTGGTTAGGTTTAAACACTTAAAAATGCATCAAAACTGCACATAGGGAGCTTGGGGAGCACTTTTAACACTTGTAAAATGCCAGCCTAATGCCAATCTTAACCATTTGATGCCCGGCCTATGGCCAAATGGCGTCCGTAAAATGTATTAGCTTTCGGGAGGCCGCCATATGGCGTCCTCCCGCATATGCGCAGTTCGTGCACTTGCAGAGTCGCGCAGCGGCGCGATCTGTCACCGGCCGTGTACCTCGGACACGGCTGATGACAGATCTGAGTACCGGCCCCCGTTGCCGGTACCTTGTGACCTGCTGTGACCAATCACAGCAGGTCACATGACAGTTGTATACAATGGATGGCTTCATTCATGCCATCCATTGTATACTAGTGTCTAGCTGTGAATGGTCACAGCTAATCACATGCACATGTCATGTGATTAGCTGTGGCCAAATCACAGCTAAGCACAAAAAAAAAACAAAAAAACCCTGAATGAATCGATGTCATTCAGCTAAATGCTTGCTTATAGCAAAGTAATACTTTGCGCTATAAGCAAATTGTGTAAAAAAAAAAACAACAAATACTGATCACTTCCCCAAAGTAGTACAATGTTACTATGGTAACATTGTACTACTTTGGACATAGTGAAATATGAAAAAAAAATCTTAAAAAAAAAACCAAACTGTAATAAAAAATTAAAAAAAAAATAAAAAATATATATATATATTTTTTTTTTCACACTGTCACCAGTCAGTGTCCCTGATCACCGCCATGCCAGTTATATGATGACGCTGTACTGCACTGGTGACAATATGTGAAAAGAAATTGTGAAAATAATTTTTTTTATTTTTTCATTTTCCAAAAAATTATGACAAAAAAAATCAAACTTCAAAAAACTCGCAATGCCTCTTGTGAAGTACGTCAGACTGTCTACTTTGCAAAAAGGGGTCATTTGGGGGATATCGGTACTGTTCTGACATTTGGGGGATATCTGTACTGTTCTGACATTTGGGGGATATCTGTACTATTCTGACATTTGGGGGATATCTGTACTGTTCTGACATTTGGGGGATATCTGTCCTGTCCTGACATTTGGAGGATATCTGTACTGTTCTGACATTCTTGGACCTCAAGAAATTAGATTGGCTGTCAGTACTTCAGGATTGATCAATATTCAGATCTATCCCATAGTTTGTGAACTCTATAACTTTCCTACAAAGTAAAAAATACATCCTAATTTGGGTTATTTTCACCAAAGACATGTAGCAGAATACATGGGCAGTGTGAGAGCGCTGAAACCTGAAAAATGGCCTGGGCAGGAAGGTGTAAAATTGCCCGGTATTGAATTGGTTAAAGCTCATTAACACCTGTCTAATGCCCATACTAATGCTATAGGAGTGTTTTTAAAAGTTAGAAATTTAGTCAAGTGTGAACAAATCCTAGAGTTCTCTTCTGGGCAATGGCTCTCCTGCAGCCCCAAGTCTGTGACAGTACATATTTCAAATTGGAGAAAGAGGTTTGTGTCTTCTGAGTACTCTTTCAAGCATTACTGAGTGTAGTCTGAAAGATAAGCAGGATTTTGTGCGATTCCTATATATTGGTTTTGTACATATTTCCTTTATTTAATACAGTCAGGCCTAAAAATAAAATGTTTCTTCTTTTGTTTAGCAGGTAGTGGCATGAAATATTGCATATAAGTAGACTGTCTTTTCAGTTAAACCAGCAGGTGGCGCACTAGGTCCCATTTCATGTTTACCTGTCTATTCATAGCTGTTCTGTTTGAAAAAAAGCCTGTTGGTTTCAAACCTCGATAGGGCAAGCTGAAATTTGCACACACTGCTGATTTTCTCACTCTACCTATTACTCCCTATATAGGCAGCTGTAACAATGGAGTGGCCATCAGGCAGGCTGATTAGTGGAAGGGTCCCTCCAGTTACTACTTATAGACGTCGATCATGTCCGTTAAGCCACACCCCTGACATTGTCAATTGGATGACGAAACCCGTTTAAGAAAAAAGGGTGGAGCTTCAGCGTGTGACACATTCTTTTGGAGGGACGGCGGCCATTTTCTTAGTTGGAAACCTAATACAAATGCTGGTAACCAGGGCGGACTGACCATTAAAGCACTCGGGCACTGCCCGAGTGCCCAGGGTCAGTAGGGGGCCCCATGAGATGCCCCTGGTACCTTTCAGAGGCTTTTTTATGTGTGGTTTGAGTGTGGGCAACGACATAGGGGCCCCATGATCCCCTATTGCCCGGAGGCCCCATGAGTTGTCAGTCCTCCCCTGTTGGTAACCATCCATAACAATGCATGAGTAACTTGAAATTAAACAGGGTGAATTTATTTCTCAAATATTACACTATGAGTGTTTTTTTCTTCTATCCCTTACCTAAATGTTGGACAAGAGTACTCTTTTAGGACCTACTTATGATTCTTAAAGGGGAAGATTGATAATAACCTGGATGAGGACTGCTGATTCCAAGATTCATATTCTCATCTCCTATTGGAGTTGCCTATATTGACCGGTATTATTCGGTCAGAAGGTCTTTGTGTTGGGGCTGAACCATTTGGGTGTCCTGGTGATGGTGGACCGTTGGAATATTATTGGGACTTTATGAATTGGGACTTTTTATGTTTTATTGGCATTATGCGTTTCTGATTTATTAATGGAGTGACCATGACTGGATTTCCATTTTTATGCACAATACGCACTTTTGTACATATCAGTTGGTGCAGGGGATTTCGCAGGAATCAGAACCACCTGCCTACTATCCCCTTTTAGCAATGGAGTTAACAATATCTGATTGGTGGCTACAATTCTTCTGTACAGACACTCTAATTAGGGAAGACGTCACAGTACACAAATCATCACCAATGGGCTCAGTACCTGATAGTCCACATTTGGTGACTTCTTGCTCGAATACATCTGTGAATTCATCACCGGAATTCAGCTTCTCCAACCGACTGTCAATGAACTGGAAGGCAAAAAGTACGTTAACTGATGTCTTTATAAATAATAAAGTCTGTTCTCCCGAAGCCAATCATTAATAGATTAAAATATAATAACACATTTTGCTCTGCCCCTGGCGGTTGTCTCTAATGAGCTCTCTGGAACTAGATAACAGCAAATTAGGCTGAATGTCTGGCAATGCTCGGTGCCCTGGGAACGGTGTCTACTGTCAATATCTGTTAGGGGTTTCCATAGATCTCAGCCAAGCTTACAGCTAGGGAACTCTATTAGGTGATCACCGTATCTTTGTAAGAAAGTTACTATATACTGTAAATCTCAGCCTCGTAATACCGATATATTTCATCTGCCATTAAAGGAAAATAACGCATTTCCATTGTAAATGCCAAAATAAGTCAGTAATTCTGCCAGAACTGATTTCCTAGTAGGGATTGAATTTGCAGAAATTGGTTTTGCCATGAAACCCCCAATTTCTCTTTTGGCCAAAAGTTTATGAAAAGTAGTTAGTTTTAAATTTTGCCATATGGAGTGCTAAGATAAAATTTGCTTCATTTAAAAATGCCAAGTGGTCACCCTATCAACATTGACATGGTGATTACATTTGATGATCACAAACTAGAGTTAGTATTAGGGCTAGTGTTAGCAGTTAGGGTTAGTCTGGCCATAGATTTCTCCATCCGCACAAACAAGATGGATGGAGAAATCCCTACCGTCGGGACATTATATTCTGACAACAGGATCCATGCTGTCTACATAAAGTGATCAGCAGCTGTAGCTGATTTCCTGAAGCCATTGATCAGCTTCCAATTTATCTGTTTGACAGAAGTCGCTCTACGATCAACTTTTGTCAGTGAGGGACAACCACACATTGATCGAAATTCGGCCAGTCCCAGCTGAACCAGCTGAGTTTCGATCCGTCTATGGCCAGCTTTAGGCATCATCTATCCCTCAGTATCCAAAAACAAAGTGTATTCCAAGGGACTTAAAATAAGGCACAACACATAAAAGTGATAACATGAATATTATACATGATTGGAGGTTTAGTGTTCCATATATACAGATCTCATCAAATAAATTTCAATCAAGAGCAATGTTTAGCTGATTCATAAAAAACAAGAAATAAAATGTATATTTATACACTCATTTTACTTAGTAATGATTACTCATATTTTTCACAGATAAAGTGATACCTGCTGTGGGTGTTACTATGGATTATTCTATGGACATATATTTCATCAGTTTTCAGTCTGTTCTTCACCTGCCACTCTTGGTTCATGCAGGTCACAATACCACAGCTCCTGGGCAGGGGCGGACTGACCATTTGGAAACTTGGGCACTGCCCGAGGGCTGGGGGGGGTCAGTAGGGGGCCCCATGAGATGCCCCTGGTACCTTTTTCATAGGCTTTTTTGAGTTTGGGCAAGGACACAGGGACCCCATGATCCCCTGTTGCCCGGGGGTCCCCATGAGTTGTCAGTCCACCCTGCTCCTGGGACATACACCCCGAGGACCCTATATCTGTGGTGCTGTTATATTATCTTGCAGCTGTTCTATATGGCTTTGTATCTGCTCCTGAGTAAGTGAACTGAGATCCATGAAACGCGTCGAGCTTTTAGATGCAATAAAATCATGTATTACTAGCTGGTCCATATATTTATATACAAGTAAAATATTATCATGGATTAATTTATTACATTTTATGGCTATGTCTTGTTTTATATCAATCAGCTCAATATTGCTCTTAATTGGATTTTATTTTATGAGATCTGTATATATAGAAACATAAATCTGAAATCATGTATACTGTAATAATCATGTGATCACTTTGATTGAGCCTCATTTAACGTTCCATGCATTATGCTTTGTTTTTGGATATATGGATTTATGGATGGAGGTGCACCACTTCTTACGGTGCCCCAGATCACAATCTTGTTTTTATATATATATATATATATATATATATATATATATATATATATAAAATCAGTGGCGGACTGACAACTCATGGGGCTCCCGGGCTATAGGGGATTATGGGGCCCCTGTGTCCTTGCTCAAACTCAAAAAAGCCTATGAAAAGGTACCAGGGGCATCTCATGGGGCCCCCCCTACTGACCCCAGGCCCTCGGGCAGTGCCCGAGTTTCCAAATGGTCAGTCCGCCCCTGTATATATATATATACATGGGCAGCACAGTGGCTAAATGGTTAGCACTTCCACCTGGCAGTACTGGGGTCATTGGTTGAAATCCCAACCACGGCATTACCTGCCTGGAGTTTGCATGTTCTTCCTGTGCCTGCGTGGGTTTTCTCTGGGCACTCCGGCTTCTTCCCACACTCCAAAGACATGCTGGTAGGTGAATTGGCTCCTGTCTAAATTGTCCCTGTGTATGTATGAATGTAAGTTAAGGACCTTAATTGTACACCCCTTGAGGGTTAGGGACCTTAGATTGTACACCCCTTGAGGGTTAGGGACTGATGTGAATGTACAATATATATGTAAAGTGCTGCGTACATTGATGGCGCTATATAAGTACCTGTTATAATAATTATATATATATATATCCCTCAGCATCTAATGCCTTGTTCACTCACAGCCAACAGGGGGCATTGTTTGGCACAGAACAGGTCCAAGATAGCTCAAAGGAGCTTCCTTAGTCTTCATGGGTATTTTAAGTAATTTGTACACTTAAAAACGGACAAAAAACACTTGACTTTTTTCTATTCCCCGATGACCCCAACACATCTTGAACAAAGGATGAGATTTGCCAAAATGTCCAGATTTTTCAACAAAATTCCCCAAGAGAAAAACTTCAATATAGCTTCTCCCAACTGCTTGGTTGCCATCTACCGTTCACACCAACAGCAAACGTATACATGAATGAACTCACAGGGGTATGTGTGCAACACTGAACTATTTACCATGAAGAGCGGGACTTTTCTGAGGCCACAGAAACTTCTCCAAAAGCCCCATTTGCCTGAAATTTGCCTGAACTCTAAGGCTGCTCTAATCCCTCACAGTTACTCCTATTACATGAAATATATGGATGATTCATGAACCAGATCCCAGAATTAAAAATATTTTGGCAGGAAAACCAGATTCACATAAATGTACTCGTACATTGGTTGTATCAGCACAGGCAGGTATGCAATGGTATAGGAAAGTAAAATAAACTACGAGTAGATGATAAATAAAAATGGTGTATTTCTCAGCAAGATATAATGGAAAAAAACCGACCCTCCCTCCACCAAAGCCAGTGATCAGACCTGTGAGAAGAGCTGGAGGTGGACAGCATTCTGCAGGAAGGATCTCATGGAGCTGCCCTTGTGGTTGAGGAAAGTCTCCTGGCAGAAAGAGATTGGCTCCCCCTGTACAAATACAATAAACAGATTGCTGATTTAGCACTGGATATTTTTTCACACTGATTTAAGCCAGCCAAGCCTGCAGTCTAATGCTTGTGATAGCACGTGTAACAAATGCTCAAGCTCATTGTCTGTTTCTTCTGCTCTGCTGTTTGGATCCCCCTGTTTATGACCTCGGATTTGTGGATTTCCACAAAATTGGCAACTTGCAATAGTGGTCAAATGAGCGCTTGTTAACCACTTCACAACCATGCTATAGCCAAATGAACGTGTCCCCCCGTGTACCCCAGCGGCGTGCACCCAATGCTCTCCTTGATCGCTGTCCTACAGACACAGCTAATCACATGAATAGGTAAATGGCCAATCACAGCGGCCTTTTACATGTGATCAGCTGTGTCCAATGACACAGCAGATCACCAAGTAAATACAGTTGCCGGTTACCGGCAGCACTTTCCTCACACTGTCACAGCGTGAGGAAAGTACTGCCAATAACTGGCAAATGTAACAGAGCAGATTGGCACTGATCATCAGGGTACTGATGATCAGTGCCCTGATGATCAGTGTCCAGCAATGCCAACCATCAGTGTCACACATCAGTGCTGCCCTGCAGTGCCACTCGGCAGTTGCACCCAGCAGTGCTGCCCATCAGTACCCAGCAGTGCCACCAGTCAGTGCTGTCAGTCAGTGCCACCCGTCAGTGTCTCCCATCAGAGCCACCTATCATTGCTGATCAGTGCCACCTATCAGTGCCCATCATTGCTTCATATTAGTGCAGCAGCATCATCAGTGCCTCCTCATCAATGCCCACCAGTGCCACCTCATCAGTGCTGTCTATCCATGCCACCTCATAAGTGCCCATCAGTGCTGCCTATCAGTGCAGCCTCATCAATGCACATCAGTGAAGGAGAAAAATTACCTGTTTACAAAATTTTATAACAGAAACAAAGAAAAACTTTTTTTTTTTTCAAATTTTGTGCTTTTTTTTTGTTTATTGTGCAAAAAAACACATAATAGAAATTAAACACCACCAAAAAAAAGCTCTATTTGTGTGAAGAAAATTATAAAAGTTTCATATATGTACAGTGTTGCATGACCGCGCAATTGTCATTCGACGTGTGAGAGCGCTGAAAGCTGAAAATTGGCCTGGGCACGAAGGGGGTAAAAGTGCCTGGTAGGCAAGTGGTTAAACTGGTGTCAACCGCTGTGCAACTCCGATCTGGCCCCGATACAGGCAGGTCCCCAATGCACTGTGATGGCCTGATAAAGAAGCATGCATGCTCCGTTTGCGTGCCAGGCCTACTGCTGCTGTACTTGGAGCTGACGTCACTCTTGCCTGCCCCCTGTTGATCCATGCTGGCCAGGAATTGCTGTGAGCCACCAGCACAGCCAAGGACAGTGCAATGGAGACCTGCCAGGGTGGTCATGAGTGACACCAGCTCCAGGTATAGCAGCAGGCATGGAACGCGTTCGGAGCATTGGAGACCTGCCTGCAGCGGGACCAGATCGGAGTTGCACAGTGGTTGACACCAGTTTAACAAACACTCATTTGACTACTATTGTGAGTTGCCAATTTTGAGGAAATAAATTATTTGTTTTATTGCTGCACTTAGATGGCGCTGCTTCTCTTCTTTTTATGGTTCCCACAGAGTCTGTCCTAGCTCTTTTTGACTCCGTTGCCACTGAATCAAGCTTTGTTGGATTATCCCTTAACCACCCTTGGACTAGAAGGCCTTTACTTGTGCGGTTTATTTACTAGCCATCAAATAACACATCTGGTCTTTTTCCTCTTGGTGCACCAAACATCTCTCTTGTTCGAGGACCAGTAGACCTGCTTTCCTTATGATAAAGGGGGCTGCTAAAAGTGAAGAAGCACAGCTATAGTGCCTGAGCACCTGCATTAGGGGTAAGTGCTGGTTCACATATATGCAGATTGGATGCGGTTCGAACTGTGACATGTGAAAAAAACATTGCTTCCTTTGGTGCCTCTTCACATATGTCCAGTGCACTGCCGGTGCGGATTCGGTGCAGTTTGAAAAAGAGTCTTGTACGATTTCTGAGCAGTGCCTTCAGGTTCAGGTGTGGATTACAGGCTATTGACTTCTATGGGAACCATTTCTAAACCACATGTGTGTGAACAGGATAAAGTTCTGACCAGGGGCGGACTGACAACTCATGGGGCCCCCGGGCAATAGGGGATCATGGGGCCCCTGTGTCCTTGCCCAAACTCAAAAAAGCCTATGAAAAAGGTACCAGGGGCATCTCATGGGGCCCCCTACTGACCCCAGGCCCTCGGGCATTGCCCAAGTTTCCAAATGGTCAGTCCGCCCCTGGTTCTGACCTTATCCTGTCCTGAACCTGATGTAAACCTGACATGAACCGCTAAACATCTATTTTATCAATTAGCTTCAATCCGCACCGCACATGTGTGAATTGGCTCTAAACGTGACACTTCTAGAATATAACAAGAATCAAACCTGCACTGAATCCAGTGTCTAAACTTTATACCGTTTTTGTTATGCTTAAAAACAGACTAAAAGCTCCAGGATTTCTTCTTCATGCAATATTATGAGATTCACTGGGGGAGCGCTGGATTGTACTATGCTTTTATTATGTTACCATATTTTGCACTATGCTTTGACTACCCTAACCATAACCGGAAAGGTTTCTTCACAGTAAGAGCTGTGAAAATGTGGAATAGACTCCTCAAGAGTTGGTTGTGGCCAGCTCAGTGGATTGCTGTAGGAAAGTCCTGGATTCTTTCTTAGATACACAGAATATAACACATTTATAGGTAATGTTGATCCAGGGAATATCCGATTGTCTCTCGGGGGATCAGGAAGGATTTTTTTTCCCCTGCAGGAGCAAATTAGATCATGCTTTGCTAGGTTTATTTTTTACTTTCCTCTGGATCAACTTTTGGTATAGGATTATAACATTTTTTTTTTAATGGTTGAACTAGATGGACTTTTTTCAGCCAGACTAATGCAGGCCATAGATGGGTCGAAAATCGGCCGATTTTTCGGCCGAAAATAAAATCGGCCGATTTTCGGATCGTTAGTGGGCGATTTGATCGGCCGTTTTTCGGTATTTTGGCCGTTTTTTTTTTTCGGTAAAGTTGGAAAAAAATCGGCCGATTTTGCCGATCGGCCGATTTTCGCGGCAATTAGTGGGCAAATTGGCCGATTTTTTACCGATAAAAAATCTGCGCATGAGCAGTGACCTGCAAGAGGAAGACAAAAAGAAGAAAAAGAAGAAGAGGAAGACGATGAAGAAGAGGATGAAGAAGAAGAAGAGGAAGAAGAAGAGGATGAAGAAGAAGAGGATGAGGATGAAGAAGAAGAAGAGGATGAGGATGAAGAAGAAGAAGAAGAAGAGGATGATGATGAAGAAGAGGATGAGGATGATGATGAAGAAGAGGATGAGGATGAAGAAAAGGATGAGGAAGAAGAAGAGGATGAGGATGAAGAAGAAGAAGATGAAGAAGAGGACGAGGATGAAGAAGAAGAAGAAGAAGAAGAGGATGAGGATGATGATGATGAAGAAGAAGAGGATGAGGATGAAGAAGAGGATGAGGATGAAGAAGAAGAAGAAGAAGAAGAGGAGGATGAGGATGAAGAAGAAGAAGAGGATGAGGATGATGATGAAGAAGAAGAGGATGATGATGATGATGCAGAAGAAGAATAGGATGAGGATGCAGAAGAAGAAGAGGATGAGGATGATGAAGAAGAAGAGGATGAGGATGATGAAGAAGAAGAGGATGAGGATGAAGAAGAAGAAGAGGGTGAGGATGAGGATGAGGATGAAGAAGAAGAAGAAGAAGAAGTAGGATGAAAATAAGAAGAATTCCAGTCCAGCAAAAAGTATCTCTGCAGAGAGCTCCGCTATTTCTGACAGTTCTCTGACAGTTCCTTGACATTTACAGCGGGTTGAAACATTGTATCTATTAGTTTCTGAATAAAAACATCTGTATCCTAAATGGAAACAAATAGATACATTGTTGCAACTTCTATAAATGTCAAGGAACTGTCAGAGAACTGTCAAAGAAATAGCAGAGCTCTCTGCAGGGACACTTTTTGCCGGCTCTAGACGGGTAGAAAATCGGCCGATTTTTTTTTTACCATTGATGGTAACGTCGACCACTTGAACAACCGATTTTTCGTTTTTTAGAAGAAAAATCTGCAGTTTTTTCTCCCCATCTATGGCCTGCATAACTCTGTAACTATGTACCCATGAAGATGAAAAAAGTGAAGGAAGCCTATGTCAAACATACCAGGTTGTAGAGGAGGGCTTCTCTATAGCTGCCAAACAGCAGAGCCTGGGCTCGGAGGAATGCCCGTGACACCCCATCACCCATAAAGGACGAGTGTTTAGTCAGTTGCAACTTCAGCAGAGAGACCTGAGGAGGAAAAGAGAGATTCTGGGGAATTAGGGTTAGAACATAGGAGGACCCCTTTATATAAAAATTGAAGGGGCACTTGTAGTTTTACAGTAAACAATATACAGCAGAGAAAAATGTGGATCAGGAACAGGGCTGTGGATAAGGGGGTGCCACCAGTCCTCCTGTACGGGGCCCAGGCCAGCAGAGGGGCCCAGGCTGGGTGAATCGGATATGGGCAGGGAGGGTGATTGGTACCGTGTGTGGGGGGGCAATTACTGGAACCGATCCCCTATATGGCTGTCTCTACAGCAGCTGAAAGCTGTCTTTTTTTCCTCTCCCACCTGCGTTCAGCTGCTTCAGAGAGAGCCGCACAGGGGATCGGTTCCAGTAATTCCCCCCCCTTTCCACCCGCTGCACCCATCACCTTCCATGTGCACCATACATTTCGCTCTGCTGCCTGTGCCCCCACCCCTGCAGTGCTGCTGGCTTCCCTCCTCTCTTACCCACCGGGAGCTGCAGCACACAATAGGATCCTTCAGGATGGAGAGTAGGCGAAGCATCCAGTGAAAATGTAACATTTAACAGCCCCTTCCTTTCCTGAATGGACACAATGAGTGATCGGTACCAAACACTCAGTGCGTTCATTCATATCTGAAGCATAGTAAACTGTGGTTTTTTTTTTTAGGGGGCCCTGTCATATTGGCTGTGTGGGGCCCCATGGTTTCTAACTGCAACCCTGATCAGGAAGTGAGACAAATGCCTTGTTTTTTTGAGTCAAAAACATTTTAGGGTGGTTGTGTACTTACTGGCAGTGGCGTCCCAAATCAGGTGTGGGGGGTGCGGCCCGCACCGGGTGACACCGACAGCACGGGGTGACACCGGACCCGCTCCACGAAAAGGTAAGTTGTAAAGCAAGCCGACGATCCCCAGAGGATGGATCCGATCCAACTTACCTTTTCGTGGAGTGGGTCCGGTGTCACCCCATATAGGTTGCATACCGACGATCCCCGCAGGATGGATGGGATCTGCGGATTGGGGAGCATAATGGATCGGACTCCGATCCATTATGCTCCCCAATCTGCAGATCTGAACCATCCTGCGGGGATCGTCGGAGGGGGTGTTACCACACCGGGTGACACCAACCCTAGGGACGCCTCTGCTTACTGGGTATAAACATTCAAGCAATATACAATTTTGGGGTGAGCCAACGATGGAGAAGGGTTTGAGTGCTCTGTTTTTTTTTAATTTTTGCTAGGAAATGGTGAACCCAGGTTTTTTTTTTCTGATCTGTGTCCCCTTCGAGAGATTTTCCTTCACTCCCTGTCTTATAAACACAGCAGCTAGAAGAAATCTCTCCAATGAGATGTGGTTCCTCTGTTAGACAGAAAGATTTTTACTCTACTCCAGTACTGGGGTAACTCTAAAATTGATGATTTTCCCCAACCTTTAGTCCTAGTGAGAGCCGACACAAATACACCAGTCAGGCTTATGTCATTATAACTGTCCTGCTGTTGGTCAATTTTACACTGCTTTATGACCTGCAGTCTCCTAGTTCTTGTAGTAAAACACCTTGCTATGTGTCGTTAGTACATTTTGGCCTAGTCTTGTTCAATAACTGTGTTGTTGCTGTCCAGTTTTACATTACTGTATTCATCTGGGTTCACCTAATTCTTAATGAATGTACTGTAGGTTAGGGACCTTAGATTGTACGCCCCTTTAGGGTTAGGGACTGATGTGAATGTACATTATATATATATGTAAATCTCTGCATAAATTGATGGCGCTATATAAGTACCTGAAATTAATAAAAATACAATAAATAAATGAGAGTTAGATAGAAACTGGCCAGTGGGAGAATAGTTTTGCATTAGCGAGAACAGGGGACAACCTCAGCGAATTGCCAACCAGATACTATCTACAAATCAAACCAGACTTCTTGCTGCTTGACAAAAAAAAAAAGCATGTGTTGCTTCCTGTAAAACTGAGATCTGATTCACTTAAAGTGGTTGTAAACCTCAGCCAATTAAATCTAAACAGTGCACGCTATCTGTAGTGTTTACCTGTGTCTCTCCAAAGCCCTAAGGCCCCTTGTACACAGGACACTTCTGAACGATGGAAACTGACTGTTGGAAGACGTAGGTTAAAAAACGTCTGTTTAGCCGCGTTTGCATAATGCGTTTATGCGCGTTTGCGTTTAGAAGCGTTTTTTAAAGATAAGCACAGGAGAACCTCCCAAATGACCAGAATGCACTGAAAAGTGGTAAATTATTAACTATTTCAGACTGTTTCAGAGAAAAACAGAGAGTAGAAGCAGAGACAGAAGTATGTGTTGACATTAGCTAGGTGTGAGTTGCTCATAAACATTTCTTTTGTTTCCAAGGTTGGTAAAGGTGTCTGGTGGAGGGAGTCATAAGGTCACCTGGCAGGGGGTCTTCATGAGGAATTTGAGGTGTGAATGGTCATTAACATATCTTTTGTTTCTAAGGGTGGGAGAGGTCTGAGGTGTGAATTGGTCATTACAATGTGTGACAAGCTTGGTAGGAACATCCTGTGTTCAGTGTTTTGTCCATCTGAGTACCTTAAAAACTCTTTGTATGTATTTTTCATGATGAAAAAAGGCTCTCGCATCGGAACTGGAAGAGTTATAAACATTTTTCAAACACAAACGCTTATAAATGCGATTTGCTGTGTTTATCCGTGTTTAAAAGCATTTTGCAGTTGAAACGCTGATAAAATTGACTGCTGAACGCAAGTTTTCTGCATTAAATAAAACGACTGTAAACTCAAATGCCTGCAAACAACTGTAAACGAAGATGTGTACACAGACACATAGGAAAACGTTAGGGAGAGTTCAGGAGCTGCTGAAAAAAACGCAGAACAGCTCCTAAATGTGAGTTTATCAGCTGCAGTGTCAGGGGCGGACTGACAACTCATGGGGCCCCCGTGCAATAGGGAGTCATGGGGCCCCTGTGTCCTTGCCCAAACTCAAAAAAGCCTATGAAAAAGGTACCAGGGGCATCTCATGGGGCCCTCTATTGACCCTGGGCCCTCGGGCAGTGCCCGAGTTTCCAAATGGTCAGTCCACCCCTGTGCAGTGTACATGAGCACTAAGTGTCGCTTCTGTCTGGTGGTTCTTCGTTCCTCTGTTATCAGCATGAGTCAATTCTGAGAAGTTTTCCTGACACATGGGATAAATTTGTGTCGGGGGGGAGGGGTGGGGGGAGAGAGAGCTCAGAAGAGAGCTTGTCTATTCAGAACACAGCTCATGTATGCTGTGTTGAGGGGGGGGGCATCCCTTTCCTCCTATCAGCTCTAACTGCAGCTCCCTGCCCCCTCCTCTGTGATACTGCAAAATGCAGAAGGATTTTACCTAAACTCAGCACTTTTAGCAGTTGCGTTTATTGAAATCGTACAAAAGTATAAACAATCCAACATACATAAGAACAATCAAGCTTATGGCATTCAGTAGAAATACAATACACGATATTCCAATGCTAACAATCATACAGATTCAACCGGTCATCCTGAATCAGGTCGGAAAAGACATATTACAATATAGATGGCCCATACCCGCCAAATAAGAGTTAGGAAAAAGATCGCAGGGCGTGAACTGGAGCGTAAAAAGAAAAGAACGGAGAAGAAAAGAAGGGGAAAAAAAAATCAGCACTTTTAAAGGGATGTACTTATAACTTATGTAGGAGGATTTGTTTCACCTCTGAGGCTATTCACTTTACTGGGTATATGAGAAGGTTTATAACCACTTTAACTGAGATTAATTAGATTGGGAGATTGCTGCTATATGTAAGCCAAGCAAATTGTTAATAAAAATAAAAAAAAACTACAGGCAAATATGCCCTGACAGAGTATGCTGTCGTTGAGGCTGTCCAGGAAATTGTACTGTTCTGTCCCACATGAAGAAAAATATATTTGAAATATATTTTAAACATATTCTTCCCAAATATATTGACATATATTTGAAATGCTATAATTTTGGCCATATTCAATATATTTCAAAAAATCTCTCTCTCTGTATATATATGGTTTTTTTAAAATATATTGAATATTGCCAAAATTTTAGCATTTCAAATATATGTCAAATATATACATATATATATATATATATATATATATATATATATATACTGTATATTGAAATGTGTTCTTATTACAAAATATATAAAAAATATTTTTAAAAAGACATTTCAAATATACTGTATGTCTTGAAAAATACAAATCTACATTATTGGAATGCATTTACAAATATATGTAAAAATATGTTAAAATGACTTTTTATATGTTAAAAAAAATCTGAAGAATATATTTAAAAAAAATATTTTTTAAAAATTTATTCTTCAGATTTTTTTTAACATATAAAAACAGTTTGGCGGTGAGATCAGTGGGATAAGCGAGTCTTAACTGCTTTCTTTTTGGGGAGGACAGCGTTTTCAACTTTTAAACATATCACAATAATTGTTTTAAATGAATTTCTGTTCCTACCACATGTGGAGGCAGACTGTCCAGGTCTTGGAATGGCGTCTCTAGATAGTTTGTGTCCATATTAAATATGACTACATCTTCCAAAACTCCAACATTGACTTGCTGTAGAGGAAAGACAGATCAGGAAGTATACAAATTGGAAGGCTAGTTCACCAAATTAAAAATATATCTGCTTGTTGTATCACCCACACACTGCCTAAAAGCTCTTGAACTGCCCAGCTGCCAGAAACAATAGGAACAACTCTGTCTCTACCTAATGGAGGGGCATTTTCTTGGTAGTGTATGAAAACTATATTTTCAATTGCACAGTTACCAAGGGTGTTGGGAAGGGGGTCTCACTTCATGAGTGAATCACAGGTGTAAGATGGCCTTACGCGATTTAACCCACCAGCTTCCACCTATACCTGAATTAACAGTGTGGGAAACAGGGGCGGACTAACAACTCATGGAGCCCCCGGGCAATAAGGGATCATGGAGCCCCTGTGTCCTTGCCCACACTCAAACCA